ATAGTATACTTGTTTTCCTCAACAAGAAGCTCACCACTCTACCAAGCCATTGCAAATGTCTGCAGCCTACCAGAGTGTTGCATTCAGCTGCTATGTCATGACGTCATAGCCATAAGGTTATGTCCTTCTGAGTCCCTAGCCAGGTCAGTGCGTAGAAAAGGAGGCATACACACTCTGTGTTTTGTTGAACGATCTTTATATTTGCACAATTCATGAATAGTTGGTTTAGCAGTGTAGCATTCGTCGCTATCAATTGCTGTCTAAAGAAGGTAACTCTGTGGTGATATTTAGAAGCTTTCACCTCATCCACCCATCATTTTTGTAAGGTTTCAGGAACAATACTACTCCGTACTGGCGTCACTAAATCAACATAGGGGGGGGGGGGGGGGGTGGGGGAGGCGTGTGAACATTGCAGAGGCCAGGTCCCTCATGCGTCGGGAACAAATAACACTCCAGCATTTAATCTTTGCTAATGTGTAGCAGCTAAGTAGCTTGGTACCTACGCACCTAGGTACCTACTCACCCCGCAATGAAGGGAATTTATGAAAGAACATCATAAAATAGTTCCTTGCAACGAATATCAGGATGTTTCAGTAAAAACCTATAATCATATGCACACTGGGCTAATCGCCCCCAGAAACTCGATCGCAGAGTTTCAAGCATTCTTACCAAAAGCGTGGACTCGTGCTCGGATATCGTGAATTATATCGCACCGTTAGAGGCGTGTTTGATCCAACATCTAACGGTATCAACATGGAGCACATTGTAACAGCGAGCGTTGGCGCACCGGGGCTTGGAAAGTTGAAATACCCTCCCAGGGTTTCATTGGGGATCTTCAACACGCGCCCGGGTGGCCGGCTAGATACCCTTCGCTCGGGTGGGGAGTCAACTTGACACCCCCTCCCTGAGATCTTGGGAACTAAGGAAGTTAGAAGCAACAAATTTACAGAGTGTCTTGGCCTGTATGTGAACTCACTTAGGTCAAAGTTTGAGCTCATAGCTCATGACCTTTAGGTCAAATAAGGTCAAACAAGGTCAAATTCCAGGTTGGTCTCCAAAGTGCCCCCAGAACCTAGGCAGCTGTTTCTGAGCAAAAGGTCATAAGCCCATTTGAGGCCAGTGACCTTTTTGACCTTTTGAAGGTCATGGTGACCAAAAGCATACAAGAATGCTCTGACTTTTGCATTTAAATAAGCGACAAAAGTTGCGCTAGGCAGTATGTTCCCTAAAACAAAACGTCACCCAGGTTATGTTAGGTCGATGACCTGTTCCGACCTCTAAGAAGTCAATGGAAGATGTTTAATGCGGTTCCTGCTGTCAATAAATTCGAAATGAATCGTGTCGTCTGAACAGCACAGTAGAACGACGTCACTGGACCTACGTGTCATCCCCACCGATCGGCAAGCTCCTTTGTGCGCTCCTCCTCTATGTCCCGCCTCCCGTTCAGAGCCCAGCACGACCTGGGCATGGCACCGCAATCACGCACCTGCAGCACGATGTGTTCCAGGAAGACGTTGGCCGGGCGGCGCTCGACCAGGCCCACTGGCTGGGCGAAGACGTGTATGATATGTCCCACAGCATAGCGGCAACCACTATCCCCTGCACCTCCGCCAACGCTTTCTCCTCCGCCTCCACGGTGAAGTGGTCTTCCGGCCAGGCCACTAGCCTCAATTGCCGGTTGTTGTCCCCGACAGCTCGGGACAGGTCAGGTCACAGCACCGAGCTGTGCACAGCAACCACGTCTAAGGAAACTCCTGCAGAAAGCTGATAAAAGCAGGATGTGAGTAATCTTTAACCTCAGGTCAAGCCGAGACATAAGTGTTCAGCGATCAGCGTCGAACGTACAACCCCGATATTCCCTGGATTCGACCTGAAGGGCTCTTTCAGCCCAGCCCCGGGTTCCCAGCAGCTGCCATTCCGGAGATACAGGGACCAAGAACCCTAGTTTATCCGGAGGCCCTCAGAGGAATATATCGGGGAATATGTAGAGGAATATATTGCGCGGGTCACGTCCTGGTATGACCAGCCCCCCCCCCCCCCCCCCGACCGCGGCACCTGCCACTAGATCGACGCAGCGGCCCTCAGTGATACAAAAGGACCCATTAGTGGCGTAAGGAATTCAATTAGTGGCAAAGAGACAGCAAGTCGGCTCATCGGCCCCTGGTTGATACAGCATGGAGAGCCCTCGTACGGTACTGGGGCCTCTGACCGACACAGGGCCTGTTCACTGTCTCATTGTGAAAGTAAACCCTTCCATCATCATGTGCCTTTTCGTTGTGAAACGATCCCGAATCTACGCAAGAGGCCTTTTAAAATTCGGGGTCCCGTAGCTCTCCCTGTTGAGGAAATGTGCCCCTGGTCGTTTTTGTGCCTGTTGTCGGCACAGCGTCCAGTGTTGGACACTGTGGTCCTCTGACGAGCACAGGACTCTTCACCATTTCAGAAGCCTGGACAATTCAAGGGGCCTTCGAAATGACACTTACAGGCCCGTCCTTGCCCATGCTTGGGAAAGGACCCCTGGGGCTTAGACCGGTACGGAACCGGCTGTTCGGTATTGATGGTCAGTCAACTGAAATAGGACCCACACTATTTCAGGAGCCCCCCATTGGTGTGAGAGACCCTCTGACTGACCTTTTAGGGTCAGGTCTCCGAGCTGGGCTCCCTTGGATATGACCTCCGGCCTGCCCTTCTGACCCTCCAATGGGGCCCTTCGTCGTGGACACAGTGAACATTAGTATTTGGTTCTTCCAACTTTGGCCCAATTTTGGTGCTCCTGTAATTTATCGTCAAATGGAAATAAATGTTTTACTGTCTTTTGCGGCGCCTCTGAAATTGTTGCCTCCAGCAAATCAAGTTTATCATGACTCAAAAAGACAGGCTATTTGTGCCTTCCACTAAGGGGCTGATCCAAGATTCCGTGAGGGTGGAAGCAAAGAAATTGTCATGACCATATTTTAAGTACCGCTTGAAAATAAGGGTTTGGAGCACTTTGCCCCGGTAGGATTTGGTGCATAAAGAGAACAATATTAAGATATCTTGAACTTTATGCTTTCGTGCTCCTTGGTCGAACGGCCGTCCAGGAATTCGTCAGTGGAAAGGCCCCAAATGATGCCGCTTAGTTTGTTGCCTGTATAAAATGAAGGTCCGGGGGTCTTTTGTGTCTCTAACTAGAATTAAGTGACTCTAGACAATAAAGGATACGATGCCACGAGATGAATATTTTGAGGCCTAACCACTAATTGGATCAATTCAGAATTTTGTCAGGGTGAACGGTAAAGCAATTGTGGTGGCCTGGATTTTAGTTCCCTTGTAAAATAAAGACAATGGGCAGTACAAATTCTCTGCTTCGATTTAATGCCTCTTGAAAATATAGGTTTGGGGTGTCCCGAAATGAATGTTTTAGTGCGCGGTCAATTTAGGATTTTGGCGCTTCCTTAAAAACATCAAAACCTTGAGGGGCCCAAGGGTAGGAGCATGGCTCCAAACCCTTCCCCCCCCCCCTTCTGGATATGCCGCTAACGATAATGATATCACTGTCCTTGTGCAGAGTATTTAATGGCACAGTATTTAATGAGGTTAACATTGAACTGACTGAGAAAATAATGATACATTCACCGCTCACGCTCATCTGGCGGTCTCCGCCACAACGTTTCTCAGTTTGGTGAGAACGCCAGGGCTGCTCCGTGCCCGCTTTCGCTGATCTTCAAGCCGCAGTAAGCTCAAACTTTGCGGAAATCTCCAGCATGAAATAAAAAGCACAATGTTTCAAAACCATGGCAAAAAAGTTAATTCCAATAACAGGATTCGCAGGAGGAGTTTTCGGACAGAGGAAGGTCAAACACACGATTTGCCAACCCGCCTGTAAGACAGTTTCCTCTTAGCATAACACGTCATGTAAACGGCGACCAGTTTTATTTGGCCCAAACCTGTTTAACATACTGTTAAGCATTTCATTTACGCATATCAATTAGAGCTGAAAAAATCAACATGAAATAAAAAGCGAAACCTGTCGCAGATTTAATTCACTCCTGATCTTCCTTAGGTGCACAGCCAAGGGGGTGGGCACCGTCTCAAACACGGATTTGTCGTTTTTCATCACAGCTGACGGGAGGCTTCCGAGAAGTTCAGAATAAGCGTGACACGCATTTACTGAGATCCGTTTTCCTCGCTTAACAAAGTAAAATTGTTTCAAAGTGTGGTATTTTACTTTGATTACGTTGTCATCTGACATTTGCAAAGTGCTTGAAAAATAGCATTGTTCTCTTCATCATTGTATGAAAAGAAAAATAATTGTTTTTTCAGGTTTTGCTCCAGGAAGAGCGGGTAGTGCCCTATATTGCCAGTAAAGCATTGTAATCAAAGATTCCTGTGAAAACGAGTTTTCCTCAAGTGTCAAAACTTCACATGAGTTTTGATAAGACTAAACAATTGCCTGCATGTGGTTTGGCCTATGCTTAGGCTAAACATATTTGTAACCGCGGCCGCTGCTACTCGATTACAGCGTCACCTTCCGGCCAAAAACGCATCGTTCAGTGCATGCATTTCTGTGTAGATGCGAATAAGACTGTGAATACAAATGCATTCCGAGTTTGGCATTACTCGAGCTTTGGGTTCATGCCCAGACCTTCAAGGGGCACGGGCACCAGACCTTCAATTCACGAAGACTCATCAAGGTGTGTGTAATGGATTTAAGCGGGCCAAGTTTCAAGAAAACTGAGTTTACCAGCTCTTAGACGAACGAAGGGGTGTCGGTCATGAGATTAGCGTTGCACTGCTGCTGCCGTCGGGTGAAAGGCCTGGAGTTGTGTTTGGGGTTAGGGGGCGTGCGTGCGTCAGCGCGCGCTGAGCCCAAGCGTCGCAGCCAACGTGAGAAACCACAGGACAGGGTTAATGAAGAAAAACACGTCCCCTGACAAACATGCACATGCATTGCTGCTCAACACACCTTCACATGTAGCACATTGCGAGGCACCCGTGAGGCCTCCGTTTCCAGCGTTCCATTTCGTTTTAATCTGAACTGAAACACACCACAGTTGCGCTACACAGCAGAACCAGAAATATGGGCGAGGCTGCTTGTCGGCCCGCACTCGGTTTAGACACCCTTTGCACGGTGCTGTTGGTCTTAAACTGGATCCGTCCTTCTACAGCCGGGTGCACGGGAGACATCTGTCTCAAATAGCTAGCCAGCACAAACAGATCAAGCAACCCGTATCGTTTCCTTTCTAGCGGTTTCGAAAACATATTGTAATCGTAGCCGCCATTGGCTACGAAAGTGGACACGGCTATCTGGTACAGTTGCGACTCGTTCACCAACTGGTACTTCGGAATAGGACAGATATTGCAGAGCAAGTGGCAGGACACAACGCGGCCAACTGGTCCATCCTGCGCGTCGTAAACGACACGCGCGCCGGCAAACTGCATGAATCGGCCGTCATGCTGTTCACGGAAAAGGTTTGATAGGCTGTTCTGTAACGCATGCATTATTGCTCTGCCGGTGACAGTGATCACTTCGACGGCATTGCGAAACGGCAAGACTGCGTCAAGGTCCGACAGGGTGATGTTTCCCATGGGGAGTGATGCGACGATTTGGCCTGAGTTGACGAAGGCGATGGTTGGAATCAGGGCCTGTCCCTTATGGCTGATCTTACGATCGATATTTAATCGCAATGCCCGGATGTATGCGTCAGCCAGAAAGTTGCCCAGGTTGCACTCTTTCCTACTGCATGTTTCGTCCAGGCCGATTAGTTGCACCAACGACTGGCCGATGGGCTGCATGGACTCATTATGGAGTCGTCCGAAGAATTCATCCACTGTTTTCTTGGCCTCCTCGTCCGCTGGCATGGTAGGCCTTATTAAGACCGGTTGTGACCACCATTCCTTCACCTCATCATCATGGTTGAACGTGATGTTGATGTTGCCAACGTACCTGCCGACCTTATAGGCATGTACAACGAGGACACGGCGCCCGCTAGGCTGCATCACCACGGTAGGATACGGACCGGTGAGAAACTGCACGTCTTGAGCATCAGGAGGCATGCCAGCTTCCGTCTCTGAAAAGAAGTCCGGCCACAGAAGACTATGTGAGTGACCTCCAACAATCACGTCCAGACTGGGCACGCGGCGAGCAATCTCCCTGTCACGCTCGTAGCCCGAATGGCCAAGCGCGATCAATATCTTGACGCCTTTTTTCCTGAGCACTTTTACCTCTCGCGTGAGTGCCCTTATCTCGTCCTCAAAGATGATGTCGCCCGTATGCGAGTTGATTTGAGCGTCTGGAAGTAGATAGCCAAGAACGCCGATCTTTTTCTGGCCAACGGTGATAATTCTGTGACGTGGGCACGTCTCTTCTAACTCTTTTCTCAACGTCTCATTGAGAGCGCTGAAATCCATATTCGTACAAATGAAGACATTCGGACCCATCACTCTCATGAATGGGAGCAGTCCGTCAATACCCTCGTTGAAGTCCTTGTCTCCGATCGCCATGGCGTTGAACGGAATATGTTTTGCCATAGCTGCGGCCACTTCCCATTTAAAAAGCATATGCATGGCATCACCCTGGAAAAAATCTCCGGCGTTCATCACAAGAGTGTTGGGGTTATAAGGATCACCTCTGATGCTTTCTATGTACGCCACAGTTTGGGCGAATCCTCCAAAACATGTAACATTCTGATCAATCTGGTATGCCATTTCTCGACACGGACTACCCCACTGGTCGACTAATCCGTAACGCGAATGCAGGTCATTCTGATGCAGAATAACAAGGTGGTAATCAGACGCTGCCGTGACACCAAACGCCATCACCAAGACCGTGCAAATTATTCGCCGTTGCATGACATGTGCAGTCGAAAGATCCACGTTTTATCCACTGCTCCACAAGGCTGTAGTAAGACGCATTTTCTTTCCTCCAGTTTGTACAGCTGCTAACGGAAAATGCCTTTCCAGGAAGGCATCTCCTTCACATGCTGCACCGCCGCACTTAGCAAAATTTGTTTGATCGATGAACAAATCAGAGGCCATGTTATGCCAAACTCGCCTCGGAAAGAATATTTCAGGTATTTATATGGCTTCTGTTTTACGTTCAAAATGTTGCAGCTGTGTCGAGCTGGCGTTACTAAGATAAAGTAAAAGATCGAGTAAGACACAGCACAACTGTCCTGAGAATTGACCACAAATCTATCGTGCGCATTGTGACAACACTACTACTCCACTTCGTCGCCTCGTGCAATTTGCGGCCATGAAACTCTTACCCAGAAGGTGTGTGCACAAGATTATGCATAGGTGGAATGCATTAAAGGCAGTTTTGAACCTATGTATGAGTATTCGTATCTAGTTTCTGAACTACTCGCCCACGAAGATGTGCAGAATATTTTGAGCATACTTTTTAAGATCATTCAGGCCTGCATGACGCAAAGAAGCCTTATTCAAATGCTGCCAGCCCATTACATTGAAAACTGATTTTGAGAAACTACCTTGTAAGTTCTCTTAGGAGGACCGTGCATGGTCTGTGTTAGAAAAACTCACTGAACACACACTTCCACTCCTTGATTTTCCTGGCCAGCCCCTCAATCTTCTCATGAACAACACCCGCCCCCCCCCCCCCCCCCCCCGTTACGCCGCCCACGTGCTACTACAAATGTCTGACCGCCGCCGGCCAGCTGCTACTGCACAACATGTTTGGCCGCCGCCGGCCACCTAAAACACTGCTTAACATTTAAGGAAATCTACTACTAAATAAAAATCTCCAACAGTCTCCACGATGAGGTCTCTCTGTCTCAGGTGAGAACAGTTTGCCACAGCATTAGACTATGAGAGAGGACGGCCCTTTTGCGGAAACTTTGAGGCTTCCCGCTAATTTTACAAAGTTTTGCAGCGTACTACTTTTGCACAAAACTTCGACCGTGTCGTAAATTCAGTGTACTCCTAATCTTTCCCACACAGGGGCATTGCCGGGGGCCGCGGCTTCACCCCAGGCCGGTATGCTTCATGATTCACATGGGAGTTTCCACATGTGAGTTTCATCATGGGAGTTGGTTAGGGCCTACAAATTAATCTGATTTGACACTCCTGCGGTATGAATAGCACTTATCACAGGTAACCTCAGATGTGCGAGCTACTTAGCATGCTGCAATTTTGTCTTGCTGATAGAGCTTCCGCCAATGTATGGATGCTGGTAACGAAATTTGTCATTCCACTGTACCAGCTGGTTTGTTCATTATCTAAAATGCGGATTTTTACACCAGCATACGTAGAATAGATAAAATGGCGTGGTAGCCAATAATTGCAACCCCCTGCTTCGTCGGTTTTCATAACCTGGACTGTTGGGGGGGGGGGGGGGGGGTATACCCCGTGCTGTTTGAAAACTATGAAAGGTAGTCGCGCGGGCAGAAACCAGTGAATTGCTATTTAATGAGATCTCACAATTGGTAATAAGTCTTATGCTGCTAACTGACCCCACCGCACCAAGTCAAAAGTCAAATTTTCTTGAAAATGATTAATTTCTTGAAAAAAATCAGCTTTGCATACTAATATGCGCGAAATGACTCTGGGAAGAGACATGGGACGTAGAGAAAGGAGCTCTTTGTTTAATGATGCGTATCACAGTATGCAGTGTTATCTGTTTCGAGCACGTGCTCGTGTGACAAGTATTCCGACCGGTGCACATGGCACTGGATCGGAGCAGCGGCTCTGACTGACGCAAACTGACCAATCACTGGCGTGGGAAGTCCAATAATTGGCACCACGACACCAATTCGGCACACTCATCCCTGGCTGAAACAGTGCAGTGGACCCCTCGTTCGGTACTGGGACCTCTGACGGACACTGGGCACTTCCACCGTCTCAATGTGAAAGTGAAACCTGGCATTGTCATTTCTCATATGTTTCCATTGCGAAACGGTATCGAAACAACGCCGGATGCCTTCTGACATCTGGGGTCCCGTAGCTGTCCCTGCTCAGAAAATGTGCTCCTGGTCGGCTTTGGGCCTGTTGTCGATACAGAGTCCCCCGTTGGGCGTTGTGGTCCCCCGACCAGCACAGGTGGCCCTTCGCCGTTTCAGGGAATCGACCAATGCAGTAGCCCGTCTTATTGACATTTACAGGCCAGCCCTTGCCCCTGCTTGGGAAAGGACCTCCTGGGGTCTAGATCGGCACGGAACCGGCTGTTCGGTATTGGTCAGTCAGCTGATACAGGACCCACACTGTCTTAAGAGCCCCCGATCGGAGCCCCCAAAGGTTTTGCTGCCCTTTGTAGTGTCTCTGGAGTGTTGCCTCTTGCAACAGCCTAAACGTTGGCGACAATGCATGGTGTCCAAAAAAGTTCAAATTCACCCAAAAATATATGGTCAGGAAAGCTCAATTCACGCTGTATTTATGAAGCAGAGCTGCTTCAAAGTGTGGCATTTGAATTCAACTGGGCTGATGTCTGACGCCTGAAAAGTGCATAAAGACAGTATTGTTCTTGTCATTTTATGATAGAGATGTAATTATTTTGCAGCACTATGCACTTGGGCTTGCAGTACGTGTGTCCGGGCACTGAAAACTGTTTTTGAGAACTTACACTCCACGTCCTCTTGCGAGGATGCTGCATGGTCTCCGCAATGAAGCCCTTCGCCACATGGTCTCATCTGAGACCCATTTCTCACCTTATGAGACTGTAAGAACTGATGGCCCTTTTGCGGAGACTTTGAGACTTCCCGCTAGTTTTACGAAGCTCTCAGCATGCTACCGCGGACGCTCTGAGGCTATTTACGGTTTTCGCAAAGTTCTCAGCGCATCGTCACCAGCGAAATCTTCACAAAAATATGTGCATTTAACGATATGTTTGGGTTTGAAATATTACGCTGTAATCGAGATTCAACGAGCTCGTTTAGCCTAAACATGAGCTAAATCACATCCAGTTCGTTTCGTCGGTCATTGACCTTTTAGCGCCATCGGTATTGGCACCACAAGAGGTACCCGTGTGCTAACCACCGTGCTCAGAGCGAGATCAAATATGTTTACGTGCTCACAGCGGGGAAAGGTGCTGTCCACGATTTAAGTTGCTCGGACACAGTATACCAAGGCTCTGGAAACAATAAGGTAGTACGATCCGGTCTCCGTAAACTCAGAGTCTATGGTTTTGGGGAAGCTGCGAATTTGGACATAATAATTGTCCTTTGATTGTTCAGAGGATTTCGTGTCGTCACATAATTGAACCCCGGTTGCCATGGCAGTAAACCCCAGATTCCGCGCCGTGGCAGTGTGTTCAATGACTGGCCCTGGTCTGTGTTGCGCGATATTCTAGAATCCTGAGGTGGAAAATAGATGTTCGTAAGTGTGTATACACCGATAACTTACGATTTTACTTTGGTAAGAACCACTTACGCGTAAATGTTGCTGTTCGGGACGGGTGGTTTTCATGTAACAGGCTTATCATTTTTGACGGCTTATCTGGCACCGCAAGACAAATTACTGTGATGCCCACAAGATCTGCACATGAAACAGGGGTATGGCGTGAAGAGTGGTGCAGGAAACAGACATGGACAGGAAAAATGGGTCAGATGTTTGGCTTCCAAAATTGGTTAGCCTGTGCTGCTATTTACTGTAGTTAAGCGCTGAGGCGAATAAATTATCATTTGCAGCACCGACGCCGAGTGCGGGTGCAGTATGGGAGCGTAGATGTGTATCGGCATGATATGCAAGCGTGCCAATGCAAGTTAAGTTCATACGTTTGTTCAGAAAGCTTTTGGGGCATGCAAAACGCCATGAGGTGTAATTGTTGCATTTGCCATGCAATGTTCACTTGAAATTAAACTAAGACCAGAACATTGGTATCTGAAGAAATCGCGACACGTGTAGATGAAATACAGCACCGTTTTCTTCTCCCTTACCTGGCTATTCATCTTATGCTGGCGTTGTGCCAATTTTTGTTTAGCCTAACATGCGATTACAAGTTCCATTTAGTTCGTCACAAACACCATACCCTCCTTTCTAGATTCGATTAATTCACTCACAAATCGTTTGATCCCAATTCCTGTTCGCCAATGGCTCATCCGTCAACACGAGTCGGATTGCTATCTGGCAGCATTCCGTTATTGAAATTATGTCTGAGGCAAACAATATTTACAATAGTGCTTAATAATTGCATGTGCACGTTGCACAACGCAAGCTCATCAAGTGAAAGCGTAATCGTTCCCAACAATGCTTCCAGGTGAGATCCTGTTTCTTGTTGATGCCTTTGACTTCATGCTGCATCTTAGTAGTTGCAGGATCCTGATTATATTTTCAGGCTGGCTCTGGGTTCCTGCGGGATATCTGGCCACATTATTGGCTAAACATTTGCCCTTAATGGGTCTAGCGGCACATTGCAAGCTGGCTCTTGGTTCTTGCTGGACCCCTCTGCATACTTCAGACCATGTTTTGAATTCTTGTTGGATCTGTTGAATCGCACCAATAGCAGTGTGATCAGCAAGAAGACAGCAACACGATGCCCTTTTACCCTTTTTATAACATTGACCTACGGTCTAGAAATAAGGAAAAATGCGCCGTTGGCGACGGGTGCCGCACAACCCGAAAGTCCTCACGCCTACGTTCGCGACACGCATTCAGCAGCGAAATCTTTCTAGCAGCCAATCACCTTCCGCGAACTGTATCATACGTGTCGCACCATCGCACTTGCAAATGTATCAGCGGCCATGCTGTTTTGACCATAAGCAGAGAACAGCCTGTAATATAACGGCAATCGTATGACGTATCTATGACGACATCAATGCCAATGTGACTTTGAAGTGCTCTCCCAATAAACCTTTTCGCACTTTTGCGGGCGTACGACTCAGGAACCAGAGGGTTTTTGGGTCTTAAAAAGGACATGATCGTGAAGTGAATTAAAAGGTCCTCAAGATAACTATTTCAGTTCAATATCCCATGTGAAGGCGGATCATTCCCCTTCATAATTATTGTCTGCACGGTCATTGAACAGCATCACATCACTGCGTCGAATAAGACGCCAGAACGGGATGAGCACTTCAAATGAACTGTGAATAATAGTATGGGGAGCTACAGGTGGGTTCCATCAGTCCTTGCCAATGTGATATTTCAGGTTATACGAAATTTTACGTTCTACATGAACTAAATACTTCGCATAACGCCGGCATTTTGCTTACTACCACCCGATGCAAAAAACAGGGCAAGTATGAGGCTTTTCGCCGATGCCGCGGTGTTTATCACCATGGCAACTAGGGTTCCACGGGGCTTAAAGCTGTGACGATACCAAATCCTCTGACCAGCCACAGGCTTAGAGTGATGTCCGAATTCGCAGCAGGGGTTTAGAAACAGTGATACTTTTTTGCAACGCTTAAGATACCGGGGCGCATCCCCTGCAGTCTACTTTTGTGTAATTGCAAACTCTAATTTTTAACAAAATGGAACCGAGGATCGGATATTTGCAATAAAAGTAATACAAAACTTCCAGCGTAACGTTGAAGCGTTTGTGAGTTTGTAGGCCCGGTATAGGCCACAGAGATATACATTAAGTCCTTAAAGTACCATAGTTGTAATCGTGATTTAAGAGCGTGTAGACCGGGCAAGGGCCACAGAAATTCCACGTTCAGTATTTGGAGTACCTTAATTGTGTGTTGTGAATCTGTGGACGTGGTATTCAGGCCACAGTAACATGGCGCTAAGCCTCAGCGCACCAGGAAGGTCAGTGAAGTTGAAGACTTCGAGATATGGCTGGATGTATTCGAAGCGTTTTTATGTGCCTTAGGCATGGAAGATGTGGCTCGGAAGAGAGCACCTTTGCATCATCTGCTGGGGAGAGGTATCCAGCAAAAATTGAAGGATGTAAATTAATTAGAATCCAGCTCAAGCCGGCCAAATGTGTACATTTCTGGCACATTCTCAAGTCACAAGTCCGTACACTGTATGAAAGAATCATCTTTCATAACATGCCGAAGATGGATCGAGAGGAAAATATCCGGGACTTTGCCGGACGCCTAACGAGGCAGGCAGAAAGGTGTGACTTTTCGCGGGAGCGGAAAACTGAGCTTGTGCGGGATATGATAATATCAAGATGCACGTACTCCTCCCCCCATGCAGGTGAGAATGCTAGAAGCTCAAAAGCTAACGGCAGATGACGCCATCAACACGTGGGAATCATATCAGCAGGTCATGGTTTACGCGAGAAAGCTACAGCAAATAAGCCTGACAAAAGTATTCGACCCGAACCCAGAACGGGAACCGCAAAAGGAAGCTGATTTTGCGAATAGAGAGGGTACAAGAGGAGCAAGAGGCAGCCCATGTTCGGAGCTCAGAAAAACGGACCATTCAGGGCTCCTGCTACGGTTGCGGTAGACTGATCGCATCAAGCAAGGGAGTGCTGGGCCACAAAAGGAAAACGTGCAACAAATGCGTTGGCAAAAATCATCTTGCAAAATCTGCAAAAGTCACCAAGTGGACGACCCCACTCTCACCAAGCGAGTTAATACAACGAAAGAAGAAATTGCACCCAATGGTTATGCGTTCACGTCTGGTAGTGGTATTGCAAACAGTGACCGGCTGAAAGAGTGAAATTGCATGGCCAGATTGTGAAGGTACTGATCGACAATGGAGCATCAGCGGACATCATAGCCAGAAAGAACTTTGCGTAAAACTGCCCGGCATCAAAGCAGCAAAGACGAACTGGCGACTGCTGCCGTATGGATCGAAAACCCCGCTGAAACTGGACGGTCCATTCTTGTCAACGGCTGCAGCCGACGATTGAGAAGCCCAGAGCTGTTGGCTCATAGCAGCTGACGGCCAAGTCTCGCTCGTCAGTACAGTGACGTCAGGGCTGCTTGGTTTGGTGGCCACTGGAGGACGGGTCAAGCAAGCAATTGAGAAGTGACCCGCTAAGTTGTCGCTGGAACAAGTCCTGAACTAGCACGAGAAAGTTTCTGATGGCAAGCTGGGACAACTAGCCGACGTCAAGGCCAGTCTGAAGTTAAAAGAAGTGGCTGAGCCAGTGTTCAGAAAAGCGAGACCCTTGTCATATGCGCTGCATGACGAAATCGACAGAGAGCTGAAAAAGTGGGAAGACTCAGGGATCGTTGAAGGGATCGAATATTCTGACTGGGACACATCCCTGATGGTGGTGCTGAAGCCCGTCGTAGGGGTGAGACTGCGTGGTGACCATAAATGCGCGGTTAACCCTCAGCTCGAAGTTCCGCAACATCTTATGCCGTGCTTGGAAGACATTTTGATGAAACTGGACGGTATGAAGAGGTTTTGCCAACTGTATCTCATCACGGCGTATCTGCAGACGAGGCTGGATAAAATCAGTCCGCAGCTGACTGCACTGAGCACCCCGAGAGGACTTGTGAAAATAAAACGATTGTCATAAGGACCTCCCTGGTCTAGCCTGCTTCTTAGATGACGTCTTGGTAGCAGGCTCAACGGATCATCATCGTCAGTGCCGTCAGGACTCCAAAGGTAGTTAGGCTGGCTGAGCGTAAAGAGGGGATAATCGTCGTACGATAAGTAAAGTTACGTGGTCACCAAAAAGTCCGCTCAAGCAGCATGGCGGACGTTTTGTTTGTCACTGATTCGAAATGTATCGGGAGGGGGCTGTTTTCCGTTCAGAGGCACAGCAGCTTGGAACAGTTACCCCGGACGAACGGCAGGGTCGCAATGCACGTTCATTGAGACGGGCGGGGAAAGGCATCCCAAAGAGGAGAGCATCTGTCTCAAGCATATGGTCTTATATTTCGTAGTTCATGATGCCGAGAAGACTAAATTGCGTCGGTTTTCGAAGTTCAAAGCCAATCTGACGAGTACGTTGAGTTCCGCATATAAACCTGAATGTGAATGTGAATCTGGTGCCTACTATTCATAACGGGGGATACCCCGGCAGGATATGGCACACAGTGAGAAATGGCTGCGAGTAGTGGCGTTCTGTCGCTTGACCCAACGCATGCTTCGTCGTTTGGAAATCGGGACGGGACTCAAGGGAGCAGGTCGGCGTAGTGGTTGGAGAGGCGGAACGTCGTCATCGGTCGGGTATGTAGGTATAAGTTAGTGAGGGAACAGCAAACCTGCGATTCCGCACGGTCATTGGATGTATGCTGGTCAGGATTTTAACAATTAAAGTCTTGTAAATCATTTGATCGCCTTTCTTTGATGTGTTTGCCTATGTAACAGCGGTGCAAGACACTGTTTTTTACCATGCTACTTTGCACAGCTCATACTGTCTGAAGCTGTTTTGCAGAGGGCAGCATTGTTGTAATTTCAAAAGTACCACTGACATACCAGGGTCATTACCAGCTGCCTCTTCATTCAGCTCCCCTCCCATTCTAATCTGTCTCTCCCTCTCTTTAGTCCTATGTAGTAAAATGCAGATTTCTGGGGCCTTGCTTTATGATGATGTCATGTGTATCAGGTGTTGCTGTTTTTTTCCTAAAAATGTACTATGATAAGTAACACCTATGCATCAAATGCATCTATAATTGAATGTTAATTGCACACTAGACTATAAATAGTACATGCTACACAGAACACTGCCTGCATAGCAGTGGCATTCAGTGAACATTTTGTCATGTTTATTGTATGTCCCACAGCCCAAATTTTGTACATGGTCATTTTCAATTTTAATGCTTAAAAGCTGTTTTGGAGGAAATCATGTTTATGGGAATTCCATCTTTGTATACCTTATTTTTCACTCAGTGTTAAAATTTTGCATTGTATGGTCTTGCTGGAATCTGGCACGAGCACTTGTTCCAGGCACAGTGCATCAACATCGTGCATGCCCTCAGTGCATTGGATGCATTTATGGCTGACTGGATGCTGGCTGATACCCTGAGGAAGTGAATAGTGAACATCAGTACTATAGTCAAGAAGTTGTAATGAAAATGATATAATTTAGTAGATAATCTGGTAGACAAAGTTATTCTTTAAAATGATGGCTTGCAAATAATACTGGTAAAGTTAAAAACAAACAAAACCAGTTTTGATCCTGAAATGAATAATGAGCATTATGCAATGCAAATTATTTAAGCACAGCCGGTTAAGGACATTGAATCAGTGTGTGTATGAAGCTGCATTTAATTTATAGTTGATAACAAAATCAAACTTTGATATGTGAAAGTCAAATGTTATCTTAAAGAAACAAAGCCAAGGAGGTGCAAACATCAAATTATTAGAACAGTGTAAAAGTAAATCAATGTGGGCAAGAAATTGTTAAATAAATGTATTAAAAAATGAGTTATTGTAATACATCATAACATAAACCAAGCAACTGTGTGCCCCCTCTTAATATATCAGGATGATCCATGAATTTAAGTGTGTGGGTGACCAATATTTCATGTGGCTGCTACTGAGACTGTAGCCACATATGTGACTGGATATCTTAAAATGAAATAAGGATCCCATTAACATTGAGCCCTGTGAGACCCCGGATCCACCCTTGGGATCGTGGCACGTGGCATATGGCTCAAACTATGGGAAAATTAATTTGAATATGAATATTTTAGAATGGAGTTACATTTCACAATTCTGGTTACTACCAAAGTTACCATGATTATACCATGCCCTTCTTCTTTGTATGGTCCCAGAGTGAGGTGGCTAAACATGCTAGGTGGTCTGTTTGAAGATAGATAATTCCATGATGGCCATGATGCAACTTAACATTTGGATTTAATTGCTGCTCAAAATTATGCTGTTTTGGAAGCAGTGAGATAATGCTTTCGTGTAATTCCTCCAGGTAGAAAAGTTAGCTCACTTTGAGCCTTTTTAGCATGTTTTTGCCATTTTATGTCTGCCTTTAAGTTTGGGCTAAGTGAAGATAGATCATAATTTATGAGCACTTGATGTCTTTGTGTACCAGTTTGCAAAGTGGTGATGCCATGCAGATAACAAGAAGTCCTGTCATTCCTGCCAGGTTTAGAGGTAGGCAATGCCATATAGCTTCAGCAGCTGAATGCACTGCAAAGCCCCAGTGGCAATGAAGATGATGGAGAATTCATACCAGGTTTTCCCCTTTGCTGAAAGAGATTACATAGATGTTCTCTCCATTTTGGGTCTAAAGCAAGATGTACCAGGAGTGCCTAATCTTGTTGCTTTATCCTATTCCTTGATATGACTTTAGTCCCTAACACTGGTTTTCTTTTTCCATTTTGACCATATATGCCAATGACTTGGGATCTTTCAGGTGGGGAGGATAACCAAAGGACCAAACTAGCACCTCATCTATGGCATCCAGACTGCTCTTCACATGCCAGAAGATGGGGGCTTTGGCAGCTGTAAGAAATTCAGCATCATTATCCAATGTTTACCCTCTTATCATATTGGCAAAATGTTTGTATGTGTGCCCTGAACTGTGTTATGTTGTTACACCCATTTGTCCTCATGCTTCATTGTTGTGGTTGGTGCAATACCATGCACCATTGTGTACAGGTACTCTGTATGAACTACTCTGGTTGCTCTTGGTATTGCCTGCCCCCACACCATGTGTCATAGCATGCCCTGTGGCTTCCAGTGGTAGTGAACACTTGCAACCAAAGGTTTTACATGATAATGTAGCCTACACTTCTTAGCTGCATGCCATGTTTATGTTGACTAGCACATAGTTAAGACACTGGTAATAGCCTTACTCTACAGAGAAAAACCAATGCAGAAGTAATGAGTTTTGCTCTGGTTTTGGTAAAAGCATGTTGCAGAAATACCAACCGATCTATATCTCCATTCTCCTGGTTCTCTGAGGAATGAGGCAATAACTACTGTCTTATTTATGTGCATAATGTTTCTCGCGAATGCACTGAACAACTTACATACGATAATTATCACTGTTTATGGGCTGCCTTATGAATGGAATCATGGGCGCTTGGATGACTGCTGTAAGCCATATTGGCCTTCTCTGCCAATAGCTGCCCTACAGTTGCACTGATGTTGACCTTCCATTGGTTCTCCACCTGTGATGCAGCCGGCTTGCCGCCCGGCCCTGAGACCGCCGGCGCGCCAGTTGCACCGATCGGCCACCAGGGCGGCGCTGCTGGACATCAGGGATCGCGAGGACTTCCACGAGCGCGTCATCCTGAGTCCCATCCCAGTGATCGTCAACTTCCACGCCGACTGGTGCGAACCCTGCAAGGACCTGACGCCGATGCTGGAGCGTCTGGTGGAGCCCAAGCGGAACCTGAACCTCTGCTCAGTGAGTAGTCCGGTTCCGGAGAGTGCGATCGGCGCGTGACGAGGCGCGTCGTGACTGATGGTCGCTGTCGCTGTCCCGCCACGAGCTCCCTTCACGCGCCTGTAGGTGCCGCTGTGGAGGGTGACTGATGATCCATGACGTTTTCTTCTTACATGTATCCTGCCACGCGTGCGTGGTTAAGTTTTGTTACGTTGTAGTTGTTGGTTGTTGGCTCACGTATGAATGAGCGCGGCGAAGCGCACGCAGTGTTTTTGGTTTTCCTGTCAGTCATCTATCCCACTTGCAGTTTGCGAGTGGTCAAACAGCTGGCGGAAGTGGTCCTCTGTGACCGCAATATTACTGTAATTAGTGCAATTGCGGCAGCCTTGCCTGATTCTATCCGAACTAAGGTGACTTCGCGGCATTCGGTCAGGAATTATCACTTCGTAGTTCTATCCATAGAAGTCAGCCATTAAATTTAGACTTAATATTACGCCGGACTAATCCAAGCAGCATAGCCTAACCCGAATTGAAGGCCTGTCAGCAACCGCATGTGTGACATGCACCTGCCGTTGCCAGCTGGACATCGAGAACCACGTGGACCTGCTGCAGGACTTCGAGGTGCAGGCCGTGCCGGCTGTGCTCGCCTTCTTCAACGGCCAGGTGGTGGAGAAGTTCGTCGGCCTCGTCAACGAGCAGGTCGTCAACGAGTTCGTCGGCAAGGTCATCCAGCGCCTGAACGCTTACGCAAACGTGCAGGCGGCACAAAAGGAGCCGACCGGAACGTCGTAGCCGACGGCCGCGACGGGCGGGTGGCGCGCGTGCTCCGGCGCCACGGGTAGCCGCGAGTGCGTGTTCTGAGGCGTTGACCGCGTCTGCGTTCGCAAACGCCGGGGCGCGGGCGCCCCCGCGCGCGTGCGAGCTCTAGCCTAATCCTACTGACAAATCAAACATGGTGATCTTCCGACCGAGGGCCGCCAGCTGGTCGGCGGGTCCCCCTTGATTGGCATGTTTGGGACGCCGCCCACGTGTCCGGCTGCCAGAGGGCCTCATTGGAGCGCGGTGTTGCCCGCCCGTGGCGCGATCGAATCCCGAACTGCGTTCTATCACTGAGGCGCGTGTGTGCGTGATTTGGAAGGTCTGCATCGTATGGTGCGATTCGGGAGGATTGTTTCCGGAGCGCACCGACGCGTCTACTCCTGTGTCGGACCTGTCCCGAGTCCTCGGCGGAATGGAGGGTCGGATGGCGACCGGTGCCGTGTTCTCGTCGGTCGCCGCGTGTCGGCGCGCTTGTTACGTTGTAGGAGTGTGCGGTGACCATCCTGGTCCGGGTGTCGCGGGCCGCTGGTGCTGCCCCCGAGCATCTTTGTCGGCAGGACCTGTGGCCCTTTTGCGGTTGTCCCGCGGCTCGTAATACACCGGGTGGGGAAGCCGGAACTTCGTGTGTCGTCTGCGCGACTCTGGTGTCTCTTCTCCCAGACAGCTGGTTGGTTGAGCTGGGGAACGTACCGTCAAGAGCGAAGACGACGAGCAAGTTCAAGGGGCCTTTCCTTTTACACTATGCCTAGAGATAGTGCCGCGACTTCACCACACAGCTTGCTGCTCCTGATTGAACCCTGGATCGCGGACGTCCGAGCCCTTGTCCGTGCGAGGCCCTCACGCGCTGGTGACTGGAGCAGCGTCAGGGGTCAGCACGGCATACGCATCGCTCCCCGTCACTAGGCATGTATCCCCACTGAAACTCCTCGCTCGTCCGCTCGCCACCGAAGTCCGGAGGTTCGAAGTGGTGCGGACAGCGGGGCGGAGGCGGACCGGGAGCTTCCGATCGAAGTACGGGGTGCCGGCCGGTTCTCGCGCGGGGCGCAAGTGCCCTCGCAGGTCTTCAGCATTGCGATGCGGCCGCTGCTCGCACCATTCGCTCGGTTACCGCCCGGTGGGACCTGTCTTCTCAGACAGCAGAGCAACACAGACTGGTGGTATGGAATCGGTGCACGTGCTGCTCCGAAAAGGTACATTTTTAGTCTATCGATCTCCACGGTCACCATCTCAGGGAAGTATATCGCTAACGACAGGCATTTCACAAGGCACTCATTGCTCACATAACTAAACTACCATCATCCATGCGGAGTTTTTACGGCATCAAAAACCTCAAACGTTTATAAATGCCTCGGGAGGTCAACAGATTCGTCTGACGGACAATGGCGAAGCGTGACTGCGTTTAAGGTGCGCAGTGTAGCATACATACTATATTGTAGCTGGTACTAAGGCTAAAAAAACAGGATTTTTGCTACTTAGCGATGCAGTCATGCCCTATTGTATAGACAGTTGCGAGGGGCCCATGATATCTTCACAGCTGATATGTTAGGCTGAGCCTCCTAACTACAATGCGATCACAGCACCGAAAAGCGTATTGGCACTGCCTTGAAGGCCAATGAAATCTAAAAGCCTTGCGTCACATAGATGACACAGTAGTGATAGCCACATTCATTCGAGAAAAACCAGGAAAACGGAGATACAGATGCGTTGATCTTTCGGCATCGTGCCTTCCCCGAAACAATCGTAGAAGTTTTTCTTTTCAGAAGAATGCACATCGGTTTCTCATCACAGGCCATAAATATCTCCCTCACCTACCTCTGGATGCCTTTCCAATGCCCAAAAGCCCCCTACTGCTTTTATATTTAGCAGAAGTTATAATTCTGCTATTCGTTTCGATAAAAGCATGTCTCCCAAACATCAACACATCTATATCCCCGTTCTCTGCAATGTTCTCCCAATAATGAAGCTATTACTACTACCTGAACTATGTGAATAATGTTCCTCGTAAATGCACTTCACAACTTACGTAAACTCGCGTCGACCTTAGAATTACTGACACTTCTTTGGCTGGTGCATCATACGACCCAATACTGGCCGATCCGGATATTGCAACACTTATCACATATCACTCGATGATAAGCCCGAGCTTTTTAACATGCCCTTCATCCGTGTGAGCAGGGTATTCCATAGGACGCCGACCCGTGACACGCGCTAGCAGTGTCGCGGCCCCAGCACGCAATCCTGCCCATCACCCCGGAACACCGCCTACTCTTTGGAAGGTCCATGCGGGCTGGGAAATGGCCATAAAGACACAGCCAACCACCGAGGAAATGATCCACAGCGCAGTAACGCCTGGCTTCGTATTAAACTACGTGCGGCCCGCTGACGGCAAAAAGCTTTGATATTTAACATAACGCGATAATGGATGCATGGAGGGGACACTTCTGCACGTTAAATCAGGCAGAGGTAGGGGCACACACATAACTAACCAAGGAGCACGACATCCGCAATATTGCCATCGCGTCTGTTTTTTCTTAATAACGAACAACTGCACTAGAATTGCCTTCCTGAATTATTGAACTACGAATGAACTGTTGCCGACTGCTTCACGCCCCGCGAACGATCACCTCCCCCCCCCCCCCCCCCCATCAGCTGTAGCCTGATCTTACCCGGCTCTGCTGAAGCCCCGGTGCAGCCGATCCCTCTCCATCGCGACCGAGACCAGCGCAAATAACGAGGCGTCCGGGGCGGTCTCGCTCCGTCTCTCTCACGGCCGAAGACCGGCCCTCTCCAGCATCCCGCGCAGCCGCTCCACCTCTCGCTCCCGCTCCGCCAGCTGTCGGCCCAGCTGGCGGCAGCTGTTGCGCAGCAGCCGCTCGGTAACGGCCGCTTCGCGGCGGCAGCTGTCGAGCTGCTCGGTCAGCTGGCGGCAGCGGGCGGCGCGCGTCTCCAGCAGGCGGCCCTGGTGCGCGGCTGTCGCCTCCAGCTGCAGCAGCCGGTCGGCGGGGGCCGTGAACAGCTGCGACGCCAGCAGGTGGGCGGCGCACGGCCGCAGCGGCGGGCTTTCCGCCGTCATGGCGAGCACGGCGGCCGCCACGTCCGGCCACGTCCGCGCCACGTCCGCTGAGCAGCGCCCCTCGTCGCGCAGCCGCTGCAGCTCGAGACCGCGCTCCATGGCCGTGCCGAACGGCAGGAATAGCTCGTACGTCACCACGCCCAGGCTATACAGGTCCGTCTTCTGGTCGTACTCGCCGCCGGCCGCCTGCTCGGGCGACGCGTACGTGGCCGTGCCAACGCCGGCCGTGTGGTCGGCGGGCGGCGTGAGCGGCGCGGCAGGCGCGCCGGCGGCGGCGGGGCGCGGCCGCGCCAGCCCGAAGTCGCCGATCATGGCGCGTCCGGAGAATGCCAGGAAGATGTTTGCCGGCTTCAGGTCTCGGTGGATGATGCCGCGCTGGTGGATGAAGTGCACGCCCAGCAGCACGTCGCGCAGCAGGCGGCGGCAGCGGGCGGCGTCGACGCGCGCCAGCGGACCGCTGGCGCCGACCGGCGGCGGCGCCTGGTTCCGCTCCAGCAGCCAGTCCTTGAGCGTGCGCTCACACAGCTGCATCTGAATGTAGAGTGTCAGAAAGCCGGCGGCGGCGAGCGCCACACGCGTCCCGCCGGCCCGCCAGCGGGACACAGACAGGCCGGTGGCGGTCGAGTCGGTCCGGCCGGTCGAAGAGAGTGGACTGCTCTCGGAGCCGGAGCTGCTGCCGGCGCCCGCCCAGAACCGGCGGGCGACCGGCGGCCGGGCAGGCCCGAACGCTCCGGACGGCAGCACGGCTGAGACCGCAGGACTGACCGCGGCTGCTGTTCCCTTGTCAGCGGCGGTAACCGCGGTTGGCCCTTCCTCACTAGCTGAGACCATCGAGGCCAACGCCAAGCCTCCATCCAAGGTCGATGTCACAGGCGATGGCTCCCTCACTTCAGCCGAATTCACAGACGTTGACCCTCCTTTCCCGGCGGCGGTCACCGGGCTTCTCACCGCCGGCGCACCTGCGACCGTCTGCAGAGCCGGCTTGGCCGCACAGCCCGTAGTGATAGGACGCACCACCGCAGTGCCGGCGGTGGTGACTGGAGGCCGCACCAGCGTCCCGCCAGCGGTGCCAGCTGATGTCAGCGCCGTCAGCGAGGCGAGCGAGCGACCGGCCGGCGCCGGCCGCTCAAACTCCAGCCAGCTGGCCGAGTCGCCGCCGCCGCCGCTGCCGCTGGCGCTCGGTTCGCCGGACGGCGAGGAGCCGGCGGCGGCGGCAGCGGCGGCGACGGTCACCGGCGCCGCCGCCTCCAGCCAGGCAGTGTTGTACTTGACGATGTTGGGGTGGTCCAGCGACGCGAACACGGCCACCTCCCGCACAGTGCGCTCGGCCGCCGCCGCCGAGTGGTACCGGAATGGAATGCGCTTGACGGCGTACTCCTGCTGGTCCACCTGGCTGCGGCAGCGGCAGACGACGGCGAACCCGCCGCGGCCCAGCACGGCCAGCTCCTCGAACTCGGAGAGGTAGCGCGAGGGGCTGAGTGACGGCGCGGCGCCGGCGGCCGGCCGCAGCAGTGGCTGGTCCGTCAGCGGCGCCGGCTGCGACGCCTGATGCGCCGTCACGAACAGGCTGGTAAACATCTGCCGGCGCCGGGCCGTGGGTGAGGCGACGGCGGGAGAGAGCCGCGCGACACAGCACTCGTGACGTTGCACTTGTCGGCTTATTTATCAGCGCACACAGCTGTTGAGGTCACTAGCGGAGCTGGTCGAAATCGCGACCTGTGGCATTTTACCCATGGGCCTTGCCGCCAGCACAGAGCACATCGGCGACAACCAGACACCACTAATGGGGGGGGGGGGGGGGGGTAGAACTAATGATACACAAACACGAGCCATCGATACTGGTCGACTTCGCATTTGCGAACAACTGGTATTGGGCTCTGAGCTGGCGTGGTGCCCGGTCCCAGGCAGAAGCGGCACGCGGGAGGCGGCCGCGTTGGGCGCCCCAGAGACTGACCTTCTGGTACATGTGCCGGAGGGGATCCAGCTGCACGCTCTGTGCCGGCAGCAGGCGCATGCTGACCAGCTGGTGACGCATCATGTTGTACATGACCTTCCAGTCGGCGCCGCGCTGAGAGCGGCAGGCCAGCTCCACCAGCGCCTGCCAGCGTGCGGCGGATCAGCGCACGGAAGCTGGCCCATGTCAGGACGCCGCTGGGAAGCCGGCCCATGTCGGAGCACGCCGCAGGGAAGCTGGCCCACGTCAGAGCACGCCGCACGGAAGCCGGCCCATGTCAGAGCACGCAGGAGCCAAGAACGGTCCCCGCGTCCCAGTGCACCGTAACCGTCAGAACTTACAGCAGCTTGGAACAGACACTCCAGACAACGTCCGAACTCCAGGCAGCTTCGCAGACGAGAGCAGCCAGCAGACCTATATGCTCAGAGCCACCCAGCACCTTGCAATGAACCCAAGTAGAATGCAACAGAATCCCTACAATAAGCAGGGGTCAAGAGGAATGTACACATAGCATACAACCAAATAGTGCAAATGAGCTATAATATTGCTTTAACTTGTGGATGGTAAAAATAAGTTCTTCCTTGTCCTTTTTAATGACCTTCTCCTAACAGGCTTAAGCTTACAACAAGCTACATGGAACATGATGGCTGGTACTACCATTGGAAAGTGACTTCAACACAAAGCACTTTGACCAGAAGAGCCACAGGTCAGACCTAAACCACACCGAGCTCCCGCCAGCAGCATAAGCAGTTCAAAAGACGCAGCAGTCATCCGTTTTCCGGACTTTCATCTCTGGACCACATTGTGCGATGCAGGGGCAAGACTCCGGTGACGACGGATCTCCTAACATGCAGATCGCAACACGTACCTTGTGCCTTTCCACGTATTATAGCACATCAAATCATTACAGTTAAATGTTTCCAGCGAGACCACCATGAGTTCTTGCCCCCCCCCCCTCCCTCCTCACACAAACCCACACAGACCGTATTTCTCCTGTTTTCGCCGCCCCCGCCCTTGCTCCGTCGAAAGTCGGGCACACCTGCCCCCGTCGACCGTCACCAGCCTGGGCAGGCCACTGACCTCGATGGCCAGGCAGCTGGGGACGCCCGTCTCGATCAGCTGGGAGACGGTATTGGCGCCGTCGGCGGCAGCATCCAGCGTGGTGATGGGAGCCGGCAGCGACGGCAGTGGCGCCAGCCGGGGCCGCCGGCGACCGCCAGGGCCCGGACCCGACCGCGACACGGGCACAGAGCCCGCACTTCGGCACGGCGTCGGCATCTGGACCTGCCATCAGGAGCACACAGTCAGGATGGTGGGTGGGAACATATCCATAAATGTAAATTGCCTGATGCTGGAATGAGGGCTTGCCATTAAAAACACATCATCCTAAGAAAGGAAATTGGAGCCAGCACTCCTGCACCTGTCACATTGGGATCCCTCCAGCCAGATGGCATGATACCTGCCCCCAGATGGCAAGGGCAGCATGCTGTAGGCCATCTGACTCCATGTTATGTAGCTGGCCCAAACCACAGTCATGGTGACCCACCCACATGCAGAACTGCACTGTCAGCCTTGCACCCATGTGCCTGGAAAATTCAACCATGAAAGTGTGGAAAGGCTCATCCTCATGGTTTTCAGCAATTCAAGTTCAGGTTCAGCTGTCAATTTTCAGTTCAGTTTCCAGCTTTATGTGATCAGTGCTCAGAGATAAAATTACACATAAGTGCACCTAAGTGGAAACCCCTCCTGTACCCATGCCTCATGGAGGAAAACTCCTGCCCCACACATGAGAAGCCACAGAGTGCAAGCACTTGTTGGCAGGCTGTGCAGAAAACACAGCAAGGCAATCCCACTGTTAGGCACCATGTCAGCAAGTCAGCCGACAATGTTATTATGCCGGCCATTGGGTACCTTGGCAATGGGCAAGAATATGGCAGCTCAGAATTATGGTTGAATTTTCCCAGATATCGAGAGCTGAAATGGTTAAAATGTGTTCCTGCCAGATACTATCTTCTTGCCAATTCTTATACTCATGGATCTTAATATAAGGTAAGAAGTTTCCATGGAGATGGTCTAAGAATTGTATGCTGTTTCTATGTTAAATGCACAACAATGTAAGCTTGAGCTAACACATAATCTTACTTCCCCATAATTGCTTCAGCTGAAAGTAGTAAATATTGAACCAGGATAAAATTAATATAAAAGGCATGCCACACAAGAGAACATGCAATGCAGAATGTCAACACTTGAGTCAGTCACATGTGACAGCTGCTTCAGTGGGCAGGTGCAGGCATCAGGCTAGTGGCTGCTTGCTTGTGTGAGCAAATTGCATTCATACTCCCAGGCTAACAAGAACAATCTCAGCAGCCTGCCTTAAATGAGCATGTTTCACCCATCATGTTAAGAAATGTCATCTAGATGCTAGGCATACATGGTACATTGATAAGTACCCCACTAACCCAGATATGGGGGCTAAAAGCCCAGCCCATGCATTTAATTTGGGCAGATGCAAGGCATAAGAGACAGCACTTCAGATACTAAATACCTGATAGATGCTTCCCATACACACTACACTTTATGCTCAATACTTTACAAGAGCTAGGTACCCACAGAATCCTATGAAATGAACATTAAGTGTCAGCGACAAAAATAGTTCATAGACATGCTTTCAAACTAAGAATATAGGCAAGCAGCAGAAGTTGGCTCAGGCCACAGAAAAATAGTTCATCAACATGCTTTCAAGCTAAAAATAAAGGCAAGCAGCTGAAATCGGCTCAGGCCACACACATGTTAAAATTGGAGGTAGGTTATGAATATTTGCATGCGACTGCCATACTCGACCAACGACGGATGCTTGACTCACCTAGCAGTCTTGATAAAGCAGGAATAAAGCAAGAGCCAGGACGGAAGTCACAAATTCGAAGCCCTAAATCATTTTCGGGGGCAGAAAAGCGTTATTGGTTTAAGCCTGTACACAGTGCACATTTTCATTTACTGAAATGGGTGCACCAATCCTTAGATAGCCTTGCACCAATCCGTACACATGTCCCCACGATGTTTGTGGCGCGCTGGGGACGGGATCATGGCGCACGTCTTATTTTACGGTCAACGTTTGCGAAGCCCACGTGGGAAAACTTATCGGCTGTGACTGAAGGATGGTGGCTGGGATACCGTCGAGGTAGGTAGGTGGATTAGGTTATGTTTTCTGAACTTTAACCCTGTGTGGGTCGCAAGGATTATCCGATTGTGTACCGGCTTAGATTTGAGTGGCTCGATTCACATGGAATCAATGGGCGGTGTTCCTCATTGCAGAAATTACCCATTTTACCGAGCATGGCCGGCGTAGTGATACCGCGGCAACAATTTCAGTGCACGTATATTGTAGCTCCAAACACGCAGGGTCTTGTGCACAGGCGGCACCAGTTTAGGCATGCAGAGAGTCGATATTTCAAGGAACTGATTTTACAAAGATAATTTCAGGTTAAGAATGGGATGGGTGTGGAAACATCGAGCTTGAATTCTGTATTTGCCCTACCAGCTACCAGAAAAACCCACAAATTGTATCACAGGTCATATGCATGGGGAAGGAAGTGTAGGAGATTAGAAGCTGCCACTTCACAGATTTGGTGATTTTCAGAAATCAAGCTGAGCATTCTTGATCATTTTCAAACCCCTGGTTTGTGTTGGGCAAAACCTTTTCCCCTGGTTATGCTTTGTTCAGCGTAGTGTCCTTAAAGATAATGTTTGTTTTACCCCTGAATGGTCTAAATGGGAAAATGGGTTTGTTGCCTGCCTTAAATGGAAGTTAACGATGTTTGATTTAAATGCTTTAAGGTATTAAGGAGGCTGAAGCGTGACATGCAACCATATGCTGTTGGCTCAACTATTGGTTGGTGTTCAACTGCTACCTATTCATTTAATTTTACCCATTGGAACTGTAAGGCTGTTGATAGCTTGAAGGATGCCTGTAGCAACACCTTTACCTACTAAACTGCATAACCTGCACAGTGTAGGTGCATGGAAACCTCACCATTGATGTATACACCATGAGGAAAGTTTTACCACTCTTTATCCACAACATTCATGTACTTCATGCTGCATTTTGACTGGCTCAGATCTTGTGGTCAAAAAGAAAGTTCTTTTGTTTTCTTTTGCTTCAACTCACATGCTCAACTTGTGCTTCAATCCATTAGTATTTACGTCAGCGCTGCTGACCCAAGGACCTCTCAGTTTCATAGCCCCTAGTTTCTAGGTGATCAGCAATGTTCAAAGTACTACCACATATAGTTGAAATAAACAGGAACTGCTGGGTGCATATGAATTGGTTATGTTTACCATCCTAGGCCACTTCATTTTCATGTTGGGTAATTTTAGCAAGGCTGTTTGGACAGTTCTTAAAATTTGATTGGTAAGCATGTAAATGAACATGTAAAAGGTTAAGTGTAATGTAAACATGTAAAACATGAGTTGCAATCGATCCTATGAAATTTCTATTCCACTTGCCTGCCCATCAACCACCTTTTGAAGGCTAGTGCTACCAGAATAGCTGCCCTCTGCCACAGGAATGGCCCGGCCCTTCTACTCTGCACCGGGGAAGCTGCCTCCCGCCTTCCCTCCGTTGCCCGGCCAGGTGGTACCGCCGCCGCCGCACGTGCTAACGGGGCCGCGGCCACCAGCGCCGCCGCCTGGCTTCCATAGCGACAAGCCGTGGATGACCCCGCAGCTGGTGGCCGAGATCCGGCGGCGTAACCAGGTGCAGGCGCGCGCCGCCCGCTCAGGCGCCGAGGCGGACCGTGCCGCCGCCGAGCACCACCGCCAGCTGGTCAACCGGCTGGTCGGCGACGCCAAGGAGCGCTTCTGCCTGGCCCACCCGGAGCGTACTGACGAGATACTGAGCTCGGACCGGCGGGCGCGGCCCTTCCACTGCGGCTCGTGCGACCGCAGCTACGGCAGCCAGCAGCAGCTGGACGAGCACTGTCGCGAGCACGTGCGCTGCGGTCTCGAGGGCTGCCCGTTCACGGCGCACCCACGCGTCGTCGAGAAGCACGTGACCATGCAGCACCAGACCGGGCTGGCCAAGGTAATCATGTCGCTCAATACGCCCGAAGCGGTGGCGCGCTGGCGCGAGCAGCGGCGCGCCAATTTCTGCCGGCCGGAGTCGGCCGCGCGCCGCCAGCAGGAGCAGGCGGAGCGCGCGGCGCGCGGCCTGCGGATGGGGCGCGGCCGCGGCCGCTTCCCGCCGCGGCAGGAGCGCGCCGGCGCCGGCCGCGGCGCGCCGCGACCCGGCCAGTGGCGCGGCCGCGGCGGCCGGCCCAGGCCGCCCGAGCCGGCGCCGCTCGACTCGGACAGCGACGGCGAGCCTGGCGGCGGCCTGGCGCCGTTCGCTGGGATTCTGGCCGAGACGGCGCCGGCCGAGCCCGGCCCACGTGGTGACGGTGGCGCGGCCGATGAGGACGCCTCGGACGTGGCCGGTACTGGTGTAGCGCCTTGTGGGGGAGCCGGGTCATCGGACGTCGCCATGACGACTGAGGAAGCTCCATCGGAACAGCTGACGGGTGGCGGAGCAGACGCTGACGTCAGAGAGCCTGAACTGGGCCACCGGGACATTGCGAACGAGGCAGCAGAATTGGCCAGCGTATCCACGAACCGTGTCCCCGCAGCGGCCCAGAGCGAGGCAGAAGTGCCCAACGTCTCTTCTAATCCAGACGCGAACTCTGGGACGACTCCGGGTCCGGCAGCAGAGCCGAGCGCCGCCACCCAGTCAGACCCGGGCACCCGCCGTGATACGGACGCCGACGCGACCGGCGTCGACGCCGGTGCAGGTTCGCGTGGCGACGGGGCTAGCGGACGCGGCGGCCGTGGCGGTCGCGGCGGTCGCGGTGGCCGGTGGCGGGGCCGCGGCCGGGGCCGCGGCAGCTGGCGGGGCGGCCCGGAGCGCGCCGCCACCGAACGGCCGCCGCGGCCGCAGCACCAGCAGCCGCCCAAGAAGCGGCGCAAACGGCTGACCCTGCTGGAGAAGCTGCTGGCGCCCGACATCGAGCGCGAGCGCAACATAATCCTGCAGTGCGTGCGCCACATCATCCACGAGAACTTCTTCGACGGTCGGTCCGCTGACAGGCCGGCGCGCTGCCACCTCGGCAGGTCCGGAGGCCAGCGGTCCGAACCGGGCAGCGACGACCGCTGCGGCCCCCGAGGCGTCTCAGGGGCTGCCGCCGGCGGCGGCGGCGGCGCTGGGCGGATGCGCCGAGCCTGCGGCGGGGGCTGCTGACGCGCCGCCAGAGCCGCCAGAACAGCCAGAGCAGCCGGCCGCCCTGGGGCTGCTCGGCGGAGCGTACGACTCGGACGCCATCACCGACTCGGACTGAGCGGCACCGCCGGTGAGCCGAAGGGCCGGGACGGAGCCATCTGGAGCGGTCTGGAGGCGTCTCATTCCACTGTGCCAGGGAGGCGGAGGGGCCGATGCTCCACCGCCAGGGACCTGTGACGTGTATGTGAGGGACGTTGGTTGTAAGTCTGTTGAAGACGGAACAGGTGCTGGTCCTGTGCTGACATGCCTTTTGAAATACACGTCTGCGTCTTCAGCGGAACGCTTTCCGTAGATACGCTGTTTGTATAGCCGATTTATTATGAAACTGATGCAGCGATAAGCTATTTACAAACTGCGCAAACGTGGTTGCAATGTTTTGCAAACCTAACGAAAACCATGAACATGAGTGCGACGGTCCACTTCACTCAATGAAAATGTACAATGTTTCAAGCTGGCCGAGGTGTCTTGAATAACGTCCATTCCATCATTCGTGCAGCAGACTATCAACGCACACCGCACCCACCGCAGAGTTTGTACCAAATGTCACAGACAGTCGTCCGTGCGCCCTCCCCAGCCACCTCCTCGGGCGCGTCCACCTCCCGGCGCTGGTGTGATGAAGCGTCGCCCTCTCCCGCACCGCTACGGCGCCGCCGGTCGCCGCGCGGTTGACGCGACGCGGCGGCCCCCGGCCCGGAGCGCGGTCCCGCGCCGCCGCCGGCCTACCGCTGGTCGGCCAACAGCGGCATGCTGGCCGCCTCCTGCGCCGCCGGCGCCGCCACCAGGTCCCGGCCGTCGGGCAGCCGCAGCTGGATTTGGGACGCGTCGAAGTCGGCGGCCAACGGCGCGCCGGCCTCGCCGCCGCCGGCCGGGAAGGCGTAGTCGCCTGTGTCCACCAGGCCGCCGACGAACTCGTCCAGCACGTCGGCCACCGCCGACGACTCTGCCTTGACCGGCTCGGCATCGGCGGCGGCGGCGGCGGCGGCCGCAGCCTCTTCCGGCCGGTCGACGGCTGCCTCCGGCTCAGCCGCTGGAGGCGCCGCGTCCGTCGCCGGCTCAATCGCCGCCGCCGCCGCCGTGTCCGCCGACGGCGCCGGCTCCGTCGCGTCCTCCATAGCCGCGTCCGCGGCCTCCCCGGCGACGCCGTCCTGCTCCATGGGCTCGCAGGCCGGCTGGTCAGCGGCGGCAGCGTCAGCAGCGCCGGCCGGGGCTGCTGCTGCGGCGGCGGCGGCGGCGGCGGCCGGCTCGTCTGACGGGGCCGGCTCGGCGGGTCGGGCCGAACAGTACACGCCCTCCGGAAGACCGGTCAGCACGGCCCTCTCACCGTCGATCTGCGGGCGGGTGGCGCGCACGCGGCCGGTCAGTGATCTCGCGCGCACGCCCCGCACGGCGACAACACGCTGGGCAGACAGCCAGTCTGACATGCAAGCCACCGAAATGGGCATTGGGCGACGGAAACGACAATGCACACCGTTTTAACAATGCAGGGCTCATATCAGTCGCATCGAACGTTCAGACCTTCCAAGATGACTACAAGTGGTGAACCGTCCAACATACCTCACACGCAAGGCCTGTCTGACGCCCTAAAGCAGGGAGAATAGCAGGCTCACAAGGAAAACTGTGGGCTAACAACCCCCCCCCCCCCCCCCTGCCGCGTGACATGCCGAAAACAGACAGCGGCCAAACTCTGCTGTTCCCATAACGCTGCCTGTGACTGGACGGGGCGGCTCGGCCTCCGGAGAAGCCCGCAGGTGTCCTTACCACGCAGGTGGAGCTCTCCTCCACCACCTCGCTGTCGTCGGGCGAGCGCAGTGCGCTCTGCACGCGCGCGCGGAACCTCTGGAGGCAGGCGGCCATGTTGTCGCAGAGCTTGTCGATGCTGCCGCCGGACTGCGCCAGCAGCGCGGCGACCAGCTGGTCGGGCGTCAGCGGCTCTGGCGCGTCCACCTGGTCACGAGCAGCGCGCGCGTCAGAACACATCGCTGGGAACTCAACAGTCTTCGTCCCTTTCATCTACGGTTAGCTTGAGGTTAACATGCCTTTAAGATGCAACTGGCTCTCCGCTGGTGCTATCTCGTAACATTCCAGTTCAGCGAAATTAATGAGAAGTGACGCTGAAAGCAACGCTGTGCAAGTTCTTGTACGTCGCTCCGGCAGCGCAAAATGCATACGAATTCCGAACTCTCGGCGTTCCTGGGGGATGGTCACGCTTGTTTCAACGAGCTCCCCCCCCCCCCCCCCTCCAACTCGTATTCAGCATCAGCTGGTGCACGAAACAATGCATTCACAGCCTGAGTTACAGTACATGTCACAACGAGTCGCGCCCGCAAACTTTCACGCGAGTTTATCAGTTGAACCTTAAGGTGGGGAGGGGCAAGCAATGGCGTTAAACACGGGTTCAGGCCCTACTTTTTGGGCCCCTCTCTCACCTGACCAGTTTCGCGCAGCACGCGCGGGAGAGGGGGTGGCGAACCTACCTGCTTCTGTACGGGCCCGTTTAGCCGGCGGCGGCTGGTGCGGCAGCGGAGCGCGGTCGGCCCGGCTTCCTGCCCGCTGCCGGACCGGGGAGGCAGAGTTCAGCACAAACGCGCACACGAGGTTCACATGGTGGCGGACGGGGAGCATGAGTCGCGCATCACGCAGAGGAGACGAGGCCGGCGTGCTTTGCATGTTCATTCTGGTGGAAGAAACTGCTCAATTTATCTGTCATAGCAGACAGGACGCGTATGAAAAATCAGCGTTTGGTGTCACGACACTGCAAACGATTAGTTACAGAACAGTCGCCGAACTAGAGCTGACAATTACATTTCTAAACGCCTACGCCTCATTGGATGGCAACCAGATGTCAGATACTTCAAGAACAAAAAAAGACAGGTACATATAAACGCATTTTTGAACGGGTACCTTCCCTCGCTTAGCTCGGAAAATCAGTTTGTTCAAGACCGAGGGTTAAGTACCGAACGACTCACGTGTTTTCTTCACGATTTTCGCAGCAGTTGGAGTGTATTCTGGAAAACAAAGGCATGTTTACTTGCCCATACAATTGCACATCACATGAAGCACATGTCAGATACGGCAATCAATCCGTCAACTAATAAATCCAGCTTGCGTACGTCCTCTACTGCCAGGTTACACCCTATCTATACAAGTCGATGTCCCGTTGACCATCTGAAGACGGCGTCTGCTGGTCATCAGTGTCCCGTGACTCGAGCCCACTGTGACCCGGTCCCCGCAGGTACCTGGGCGCTGGTGGGTGGGGTTCTTGTTGTAATGTCCCTCCAGGCGGGCGTAGCCGATACAGAGGGCACCGCACGTGCGACAGGTGAACCGGTCCCGCACCGCCTGCGGGATGGTGCGCTTGGGACGCGGCCCCACCTCGCGGCTGTCCTCGCTCTCGTCGGCCGCCGCCGCCTCTGTGGGGATAACGCACGACACACGTCACTGCGAGGCCCACACAGAGAGCGCAGAGAGCGGGCGGACGGTGACCGACGGGACCCAAACCTCACGAAAGGCCTGTCGCTTACAGACATGCACAGAGGACAGCAGACATGTGCGGTAGCGCCAGGCCGACAGCCAAACGGACCAGCCACTGCGTCACGGACGTAGCAGACAGTGCGAATGCCGACGGCAAGACACCAGTCACTGCTGTACACATACGCAGGCCATTAGACACCCGTCACTGCTGTACACACACGGAGGCCATAAGACACCCGCCACTGTTGTACACATATGAGGCACTAGACATCTCTCTCTGCTGTACACATACGCAGGCTATTAGACACTAGCCACTGTTGTACCCATACGTAAGCCATTAGACACCCGTCACTACTGTACACATACGTGGGCCATTAGACGCCCGCCACTGTTATACACATATATGGGGCACTAGAAAACTGTCCCTGCTGTATACATACGCAGGCCACTAGACACCCGTCACTGATGTACACAACCATAGGCCACTAGACACCCGTCACTGCTATACGCATACGCAGGTACGCAGGCCATTTGACACCAGTCACTGCTGTACACATACGCAGGCCACTAGACACCCATCACTGCTGTACACATACGCAGGCCATTAGACACCCGTCTCTACTGTACACATAAGTGGGCCATTAGCCACCCGCCACTGTTGCACACATATACGGGGCACGAGGCATCTGTCCCTGCTGTAAACATACGCAGGCCATTAGACACCAGTCACTGCTGTACAAACATGTGGGCCATTACACACCAGTCACTGCGTACACTGCACACAAACTGTACACATACGCAGGTCATTGGACACCCGTCACTGCTGTACACAAACACAGGCCAATGGACACCCGCCACTGTTGTACACATATATGGGGCACTAGACATCTGTCCCTGCTGTACACATACACAGGCCATTAGGCCCGTCACTGCTGTACACATACGTGGGCCATTAGACACCCACCAATGTTATACACACATATGGGGGACTACAAATCTGTCCCTGCTGTACACATACGCAGGCCACCAGACACCCGGCACTGCTGTACACATATGCAGGCCGTTAGACACCCGTCACTGCTGTACACATACGTCGGTCATTAGACACCCGACACTGTTGTACACATATACGGGGCACGAGGCATCTGTCCCTGCTGTAAACATACGCAGGCCATTAGACACCCGTCACTGCTGTACAAACACGTGGGCCATTACACACCAGTCACTGCGTACACTGCACACAAACTGTACACATACGCAGGTCATTGGACACCCGTCACTGCTGTACAAACACAGGCCAATGGACACCCGCCACTGTTGTACACATATATGGGGCACTAGACATCTGTCCCTGCTGTACACATACACAGGCCATTAGGCCCGTCACCGCTGTACACATACGTGGGCCATTAGACACCCACCAATGTTATACACACATATGGGGGACTACAAATCTGTCCCTGCTGTACACATACGCAGGCCACCAGACACCCGGCACTGCTGTACACATATGCAGGCCGTTAGACACCCGTCACTGCTGTACACATACGTCGGTCATTAGACACCCGACACTGTTGTACACATATATAGGCCACGAGACACCCGTCACTGCTGCACACATATGCAGGCTATTAGACACCCGCCACTGCTGTACACATACGCAGGTCATTAGACACCCGTCACTGCTGTACACATACGTGGGCCATTAGACACCCGCCCTCTGTTGTACACACACGGAGGCCATTAGGCACACGCCACTGTTATACACATATATGGGCTATAAGACACCCGCCACTGTTGTACACATATATGGGGCACCAGACATCTGTCCCTGCTGTACACAAACGCAGGCCATTAGACACCAGCCACTGCTGTACACATACGCAGGCCGTTAGACGCCAGTCACTGCGAACACTGCACAGATACTGTACACATCATGCTGTACACATCGCAGGCCATTAGACACGCGTCACTGCTGTACACATACACAGGCCATTAGACATCCGCCACTGTTGTACACATATATCGGGCACTAGACATCTGTCCCTGCTGTACACTTACGCAGGCCATTAGACACCCGTCACTACTGTACACATACGTGGACCATTAGACGCCAGTCCCTGCTGTACACATACACAGGCCATTAGACACCAGCCACTGCTGCCACACACGCAGAGCATTAGACACCCGTCACTGTTGTATACATATATGGGCACTAGACATCTGTCCCTGCTGTACACATACACAAGCAACTAGACATCCGTCACTGCTGTACACATATGCAGGCCATTAGACACCCGCCACTGCTGCACACATACACAGGCCATTTGCCACCAGTCCCTGATGTACACATATGCAGGTCACCAGACACCCGCCACTGTTGTAAACATATATGAGGCACTACACATCTGTCCCTGCTGTACACATAACCAGGCCATTAGACGCCAGTCACTGCGAACACTGCACACATACTGTACACATCATGCTGTACACATCGCAGGCCATTAGACACGCGTCACTCCTGTACACATACACAGGCCATTAGACATCCGTCACTGCTGTACACATACATGGGCCACTAGACACCCGTCACTGCTGTACGCATATGCAGGCCATTAGACACCCGTCACTGCTGTACACACACGCGGGCCATTAGACACAACGCACTGCTGTACACATATTGTTGTTGTTGATTGGAGTTTTAGGGCGCGTCGACTACTGCGGTCATTTTGCGCCCATAACAGCCAAATGACTAGCTTCGGAGTGTGACTATGAAATGACTAGAAAATATGTATTATTCAGAAATATAAACGGCTGAGTTGTATCAGGAACGCGTCATTGATACGAAATTTTTGGCAGCCTAAAAACTTCCTACACGCCGTATCAACTATTCAGGCAGGCGTATATAAAGTGCAGAACTTAACATGCGATACAAACCTGAGGGTATGTTCGATATATGGTGACCTGTCACATCGTAAATCGGAGAGCGTCAGGGACGGCGCCGCCGGGCCAAAGTACCTCAGACGCTCGACGCGTAGTGTGGGGCAGCATACGAGCCCATGTTCCACTGTGAGCGTGGTGTTGCAGTGGCGACATCGTGGTAGTTCGTCGTGACATAGTAAGTGTCGATGTGTAGCATAAGTATGGCCGATCCGCAAGCGACACAGGGTTACTTCCTCCCGTCTGGACTTTCGATAGGATGACTGCCATTCCTGAACAATCGGTTTAATGCTCTTCAGTTTGCTAGTGCCCATCACATCCCATGCGCTCTGCCATTCCTCGCGCAAAAAGGCAGAGATGGCCGAGCACAGGTCTGTAGCGAGTATCGGAAACACTCTGCGACAGGGACGACGAGTAGCACGCTTTGCGACGAAGTCAGCCAGCTCATTTCCCGCGATGCCAACGTGGCTCGGGATCCAGCAAAGTACTACGGTCTTGCCAGCCCGGTACAGAGAGTCGAGACGCAGTAAGATATCCTGTATAAGGGGATTTACCGGATTAAAACACCTTAATGCCGAAAGGGCACTTAGGGAATCCGATAAAATCACGTGCAGACTGTCTTCGCCCACCTCTATAAAACAAAGCGCCTTAATGATGGCCACAAGCTCTGCAGTATACACGGACGCATGGACTGGCAGTGTAAATGATCGCGTATCGGGACCACACACAAGAGCGGAACCAACACCCGTATCCGTTTTCGAGCCGTCTGTATACGTAATTGTGAACCCCTGATATGTTTCGATATGCTTCAGAGCTGCTGATCTGGCAAAGTACGGAATCATATTTTGCTTCCGAACCTCCGACAATGAGACGTCGACAGTTGGCGATACCATCACCCACGGAGCGGTCGGCAGGCTACGTGGGCGTGCCACACCCCGAAAACTTAAGCCGCTCTCATGAAGAACATTACGAACACGCACACAGAAAGGCGCCACACGTGTTGCTTGTCCGGACTGAAAAACATGGGATGTATGGCGTGAGAACATGGCGTGATGTGTTGGGTGGTTCGGGAATTGCGCGAGCTTACAAGCGTACCGCATTCCCAACAACTGTCTTCGGGTAGCCAGCGAAGGTTCGTTGGCTTCCACAAGCAAGCTGGCTGTCGGAGACGTACGAAATGCACCAGTAATGATTCTCAACGCAGCATGATGGACCGCATTCAAGATGCGTTTTACGGACTCAGAGGCGCCATCATATACAACACACGCATAGTCTAGCTTGGAGCGTATCAGTGAACGGTATAACAACAAAAGTGTTATCTGCTCTGCTCCGTACGATGTTCGTGCCACACATTTCAGTATGTTCAGTGCCTTAAAACACTTGTCACGCAGAGTGGTAAGATGCTCCCTGTAGGTCAAACGCTTATCAAAATGTAATCCCAAAAACCGTGCCGCCGTATTGCAGGGGATCGACTTTCCATAAAGCTTAAGCACCATGTCGGGACACTGACGCCGGCGTCGACAAAAGTGGACGGAAACTGTCTTCGAGGTGGAAAACCGTAACCCGTTGAGCATGCTCCATCTTTCCAAGCGAGCCACAGCCAACTGCAACTGACGCGACATGGACGCTGCTGTGGCAGAGCTGCACCAGATGGCGAGGTCATCAACAAAAAGCGAGCGACCAATCGCCTGGGGAAGACAGTCCCCAACATCATTTATCATGACGGCAAACAACGCAACACTTAGTACACTGCCCTGGGGTATGCCGTTCTCTTGTGTGTATCTTTTCGAGCATACGGAACCGACACGAACGCGGAAGAAACGGTCAGCACGAAAGTTCACAAGAAAGGTAAGCATAGCTCCGCGTATGCCATACTGGAACAGCTTCCGTAAGATGCCATATCGCCAGGTGGTGTCGTAAGCCCTTTCAATATCGAAGAACACAGCTCCAACATGCTGCTGTACACATACACAGGTCATTAGACACCTGTCACAAATGTATACATACATAGCCTATTAGACACCAGTCACTGCTGTACACATACGCAGGCCACTAGACACCCGTCACTGCTATGCACATACGCAAGCCATTTGAAACAGTCACTGCTGTACACATACACTGCTGCACACATACGCAGGCCTATTAACACCAGTCACTGCTATACACATACGCAGGCCACTTGACACCCGCCACTGCTGTACACATACGGAGGCCCTTTGACACCAGTCACTGCTGTACACATACGCAGGCCATTAGACACCTGCCACTGCTGTACACGTATGCAGGCCACTAGACACCAATCACTGCTGTGCACATACACTGCTGTACACATACACAGGCCACTAGACACCCGCCACTGCTGTACACATACGCAGACCGTTCAACATCCGTCACTGATATACACATATGCAGGCCACCAGACACCCGCCACTGTTGTAAACATATATGAGGCACTACACATCTGTCCCTGCTGTACATATACACAGGCCATTAGACACCAGCCACTGCTGTACACATAAGCAGGCCATTAGACACCTGTCACAACTGTACACATACGTAGTCTATTAGACACCAGTCACTGCTGCGCACACACGCAGGCCACTGGACACCCGTCACTGCTGTGCACATACGCAAGCCATTTGAAACAATCACTGCTGTACACATACACTGCTGCGCAAATATGCAGGCCAACTGACACCAGTCACTGCTGTACACATACGCAGCCCACTTGACACCCGCCACTGCTGTACACATACAGAGGCCCTTTGACACCAGTCACTGCTGTACACATACGCAGGTCAATAGACACCCGTCACTGCTGTACACATACACAGGCCAGTAGACACCCGCCACTGTTGCACAGATATACGTGACACTAGACATCTGTCCCTGCTGTACATATATGCAGGCCATTAGACACCCGTCACTACTGTACACATACGTGGACCACAAGACATCAGTCACTGCTGTACACATACGCAGGCCACTAGACTCCCGTCACTGCTGTACACATACGTGGGCCGTTAGACACCAGTCACTGCTGTACATACACGCAGATCACTAGACACCAGTCACTGCTGCACACATATGTGTCCCACCAAATACGATACGCAGGCCACTAGGCACCCATCACTGCTGTACACATACGTGGGCCATTGGACATAAGTCACTGCTCTACACATACGCAGGCCCCCAGACACTCGTCACTGCTGTACACATACGGAGGCCACTAGACACCAGTCACTGTTGTACACATACGCAGGCCACCCGACGCAACGATACTCTGTTCCAAGCAAAGGTAACGCAACGCAGGTCGTTCCGCGTCCCTTTTACAGAACGTCAGCGATTGCAGGGCCATCTATATTCCGGGCCATGTAAACCATATTTACATCGGCCCAGGGGCCATTGCGCAACCGGGATTCGCTCACGGGCATCCCACGCGGGAGCCGAAGGCGCCAATGGCACGGCCACTACGCCTCTGCGCCACGATGCGCCCCGCTTCGGCGCTCACGGAGGCGAAGAGACGCGGCACTCCATACGCCAGTGTAAAACGGCCGGCAAGAGCGCGCACACACGCACACACGGACGACGGCGCCCGCAGCCTCGACCGCGCTGGACCTGCGCCGGCAGCTGAGTCATGGGTGCGCTGAACGGGGTCTGCCTCATACCCGAGCACGCGAAGCGCAGGGACTGCTCCACGACGCTGTCTACCAACGGGACGAGAATAGCCGCCAGCTCCAAACAACGGCCCTGCTCACTTATACCCCCCCGAGACATCTGTGACCCAACTGCCGCCGAGTGCGTGCTTTCCAGTCGTCGCCATTGCTCCATTCTACAGGGCCCTGTCGCTGGCCGAGGGAAGGGCGCGGCGAGCGGGTCTCACCGTTGGCCGTCTCCGAACCAGGCTTGCCCTCCTCGTCCTCCTCCTCCAGGTCTTCCTCCTGGTCGGCCTCGTCGTAGTCGGAGTAGCCCCCGTCCGAGTCGTCCAAGTCCGGTTGGTTGAAGTCGAGCCTGGCGGAGTGACAGCGGAGGTTTGGTGCCGTGCCTAGGTCCCACCCTCCCCCTCCCCCTACTAAGCCAGGCCAGGAGCGGCGAGTCACAGTGGCAGGGGCAACCGCTGCCCCCCCCCCTCCCCCTTCCCCATCACCGTGTGATACAATTCCTCGCTAACGCTATGACAGCGTTAGGAAAAGGCACGCACTAAAAACCACACATCTCCCCCCCCCCCCCGAAAAAACCACTTCCAATGGTCGGTCCCTCCGGTCTTGGGCCACACTTCGAATATTTGCCTCTGGACCTATCCCAAGTGTTCGGCTCTAGGCCCACCCGCGCTACACACCAAGCTGACCAGGTGCACGTTTCACCAAGGAATGCTTCAGACGCGCGGCGAGCGCAGGCGCACATAAGGCAGCAGAACAGCAGGCGCCTGTAGTACGGGATACACTCGCTAACCTGTGGATATGCCGGTAGTCTTTGACCATGTGTTTGGGCGGCTTGGACACGCGGCCGGTGCGAGTCTTGGTGGCCAGACGCTTCTTCTCGGCGCGCTCCACCTGCAGCGCACACGGCCCGGGGTCACAGACCAGTCAGCTGGCTCACAGAGGCCATGAGAGCTCACAGAGGCCACTGAGAGCTCACCAGTGCCCGCGGCCCACCCCGACAGACGCCGCCAGCGCCGCCCAGTGTGCCGTACCGACTCGATGTCCTGGCCGGGGTAGTACTCGTCGTCGACCTCCTCGAGCACCTTGCGCGGCCGGCCGGGCCCGCGGCCGCGGCCACGCCCCCGGCCCCTGCCGCGGCCCCGGCCTCGGGGGCGGCCGCGCGGCGGGTAGCCTCGGCCGCGACCGCGCGAGTCCTCCGGATACACCACCCTGCCGAGCGGGGAGGCCGGCGGTCACCGCAGCGCGACAGGCCAGCGCACAGTGCACCGGAAGCGCCGATGCTGTGCTACTCGGCCGGACATGCAACATTTCAATGTTCTTGGGCACGCTGTTTGCGTTCTCTGGCAGAATTTTTCCATAAGACGTGCCGACGCCCCACAATTCTGATCCAACGTTGGTCGAGCACGCATCAAACACAGGTATTAACAAGCCGAGGAATACAACGCCTCTGACAATTTGTGACCACACATATCCTGCGTACATGTATCCTTTATCAAATCTAGCTCGTAACAAAATAGCAACGTCCGAACACAGCAGCGCCGAGAATGTGAACGGACGGCCCCGCAGATGGGTCCTCTCGTGCCTGAAATGACCGAAACCCGCGAAACGGACCGAGTCGGAGCAGGCCACCAACACGGCACATCCGCGGGCCCAGTGAACGGAGCACACCGCGAACCGTGCTCTGCTTCTCCGCCTTGAACGGAGCACAGCGTGCGCCCGCACAGCGCGGCGCCTCGCCACCGGCCGGAGCTGACTACACCTCCGAGAGCGGCCGCCCGGCCCGGCCCGGCCCTGCCCGCGCCGCGCCGCGCCGCCCTCCCGGCGCGTGCCCAGGCCCCGGCGCCCACCTGTACACGATGCGCGTATTGGTGTTGGCGTCGTAGATGGTGTTCTTGGCGTTTCCGGGCACGTTGAGCCTGCTCTGCTGCAGCACGGTGGCGATCTGCTTGAGCTGCTCGGCGCTGAGTGGCTGCAGCGACTTGAACGTGTTGCCCTGCTGCACCAGCTGGATGGGGTTGTCGCTGGAGCCCAGTGGCCGGTCGGCGGCCTGCGCGGCGCCGGCCGCCTCCTTGAGCGGCCGCACCAGGATGCGCAGGCCTGGGCGCGGCTCGATGAAGTCCGGCAGCTGCTGCCCGTTCATCGGTGTCAGGATCACAGGCACGTCCGGGTCGTCCTCCGGCTCCATCTGCCGGGCCGCAAAGGCGGCGTCACGGCGCGCGCTCAGAGCCAGCCCCTACTCCGCAGGCGAGGGCACGCGCCGCCAGCGAAAATGTTTGGCTAGTCAAGAAACAAACGCTCGGGGGAAAGCATACTACTACTACTTCAATATCATCTTGGTTTCGATGCCCACACACAGCTAAGCAGTCACATACTCTCGGGTTAATCTTCCTCGTCTTTAATGAATGTACATTACGCACACGCGCGCACGCACACGTACATTCGCGCGCGCGCGCCCGCGTGAGGATGTACTCATACACACATACACATGCATGTACACACACAGACATCGAAAAACACTTCGGACCATTCACCAGTATAAAGCTAAAACTTTAACATGGTGTTCGTGGTCACCACCGCAGATAATGGTGTGCAACGCGCGTCTCCATCTCCCCAATGTTCCGCACCGCAAACTTCCTTGCTGCAGCCTTTGACAAGTAACGACACATCAACATCGCAGGGGCCATTTGACGTCGCGATCCCGCACGGCTAATCCCCGCGAACGGCGGGACGTAGAGCCAATATCCAAGCCCAAACTCACGACTGTTGGCGAATGTTCGGCGTGCGAACTTCCCCACCACTGTGGATCTCTCCGAGACATTGAAAAACCAGGCTGTGGTGAGCCCATGGTACAATGACTTCGAGATAATGCGGAAGACCGTAGTCCCACCTAACACATCTCAGTTGAGCGGGCCGAAAGACACAATGGACTCGTACACAGTCACGTGGGCCTGTCGGCCAGCGCCGGAGCCCGAGCCGGCCCCAGGCCGAGCTCCAGCCGGCTCGGCGCCGGGCCGCAGCGTACCTCTGGCGGCCTGTCGGCGGCGCCAGCCTCCGCCACGCCGTCCAGCGTCACCACTGCCGCCGCGCCGCCGCTGCCAGCCGACGGCGCCGCACCGGCTACCTGGGGGCGGGGAACCAAGCCAGCCGTCAGCGGAGCAGGGCCGCATGTCCCGCCACATGGCCCGCTGGGACACGGCGGGCAGGGGACCGGTGTGGCACCACAGGAAGGGCAGAGTCGGCCAGACGCTGCAGCAACAACCGGATGTAGGTACATCCACCGCCGCGCTAGACCATCTGCACCAGCGGCCGTCGACCCCAGATGGCCAACTTAAAAGGACTGTTCCTTAGATAATGACTTTATCCAAACCGCACGATCTTTCATCAACAAATGTCCGCTGTGGCGAAACACGCCCATGCTCATTCGAACTCGGTGGCTGTCACAGACATCGGCCCCTCCAATGCCCAACACCCACACTGAGCGGTGGGCGCCGACGCGCGTAACGCCAGCCCTTGGTTCCGTACTCCTCCTCCCTCCCCTTCCCTCCCGGCGTGCGACGGCCGGCGCCTCACCTGTCTGACGGCCGGCCGGGCGGCGGCGGGCGCGGCCGCCTTGGCCGCAGCGGCGCCGGAGCCGACGGCGGCGGCGCCAGCGCGCACCTGCGGCACCATGATCTGACGGGACTTGGCCAGCAGGTCGGAGGCCGGCGACGCGTCTTTGCCGGCCGCCGCCTCGGCCGGCGGACCGTCGTCCACCACCTCGAACGTGTACGTCACCTGCGCGGCGGCCGGGCCGTTAGCGGGCCGGGCCGTTAGCGGGGGTGTAGCGCGCGGGGCCACATCTGGCGCCCTGGACCGCGCCGGCGGCACCAGCGGGCCGGCCCGAACGGCGATCGGCGCGCAGAGCGAGGTGGACGGCCAGGCGCGGTGGGAAAGCAGCCTGACGCACATTGACTGTTAGGATACTGAGTGCGATAAAACAACTCTTACACTAAAGCGCAAGCGCAAATGTTGATGTCTCATCTACAACGCACTCTCACCTCTTTCTCAAGTGAATCCCGGTTATCCCCAGACCGAAATAACAACCGACAGCCAGTCACGCACTGTTTCGACAAGCACCTGAGGCAGCCCATCAGTGATAGCCAGCTGGCTCCCCACGGCCAGCGTGACAGGAGACAGCCAGCTGTCTCCCTGCGGCCAGCGTGACGGGAGACAGCCAGTTGTCTCCCTGCGGCCAACGTGACGGGACTAGAGACTCGGCGAAGGAGCCTGCCAGCCCATAGAGCACTACAGCGCACAGGCGCGCCTGCCGCTGCGTGTTCCACCACACCCATGCGGAGCGCCGTGTAGTGTGGTGCAGCATGTGGTGTAGTGCGAGGTGCGGTATGTAGTGCGGTGCGGTGTATAGTGCGGTGCGGTGTGTAGTGTAGCGCGGTGTGAGGTGCAGTGTGTGGTGCGGTGCAGTGTGCGGTGCGTTGTGCGCAGTGGCGTATGGTGCGGTGCGATGTGCGGAGCGGTGTTTGGTGCAATGTGCAATGTGTATATGTGGTGCGGTACGTTGTGCAAAGCGGTGCGGTGTGCGATACGGTGTGCGGAGCGGCGTGCGACGCTGTGTGGTGTACGGAGCGGTGTGCGGAGCGGTGTGCAGAGCGGCTTGCGGTGCGGCGTGCGGTTTGTGGTGATCACCTTGCTCCCATCGCCAGCCTCGGTGGGCGTGTCGGTCAGACCGAGCGCCGGGTCGTCGGCGATGTCCACCTTCTGGCTGTCGTCGGCCTCGTCGGCGGCCGGCTCCATCGGCTCCTGCGGCAGCGGGCGGCGTCAGCGGGCGTGCCGAGAGCCCCGGCCTGGCCAGACCGCCGGAGCGGCGGCGGCGCTCCGGCAGGGGCGGTCACCACAAGCGTCGCCCCAGAGCCGTGTGACCGCCACAAACGTGACACCACGACCTACGTGACGCCTCACACGCCAGCCGCATCGGCTGAGCAGCACGGGCTGGGCCGGCCGTGCTGGCCGCCGCGATGCCAGCAGCCGGACAGAGAAGCGCCCCCGCTGCTCCGGTCATCGGGCCGACCAGCAGTCGGCCGGCCGACCTCCGACAGCCCGGCGGCTGCTCACCTGTCCGCCGGCGGCGGCCAGCAGCTCGTCATAGTCGATGCCGAGCGCGGCGGCCTGGCTGGGCGTGAGGCGCACCGTCTGCTGCTGACCGGTCTCGTCCTGCAGCACGGCCAGCACGCCCTCCTCGCCGTCCTCCAGCTCGGCCGGCTCGCCCTCCTCGTCCTGCACCTCTGCTGACGGCCACGAGCACAGTCAGCGGGGCGCCGCCGACGTCGCGGACAGACTCGCACCACTGTCAGACGCCGGGAAGGTCGGGCCGCGCCGAACGGATGAGCCGGGGATAGGCAGAGGGGCGGAAGGGAGGAGCCGGCAGGTAAGGGGAACATGCACTGTAAATTGGCCGCACCAGAGGCATTGCGTCGCCCTGGGTCAGCAAATCCGCTCTCTGTTCACCCCACTGAGATATCGAGGTGAGCTCGTCGCACACAAGCATGTTTCAGCGGATATTCGGGGGGAATGCAAACGATCATGATCACCGCGGAAGTGGCCAACAAATGGAACCCCGTGTCTCACACACTGCACTGCATGTTTGCTTCTCGCACCCGTCGATTCAGAACCGTCCCTGTAGCGAGGCACATAACACATCTGCTTAAAAGTATTGCAATCTCCGAGGAGAAGAGTGTAACATCGGCAGCCCCGGAGGCGCGGTGCGCGCCGTCGGTGGGCGGCGCGCGGCTGCCGGCGCCGCTCGCGCTCACCGAGCGTGTGCACGGTGGCCTGCTGCTCGTCGGCGAGGACGGCCGGCGGCGCCTCCTGGACGGCTTGGCCGCGGCCGGCCAGCTGCGCCAGCGCCTGCTGCAGCACGTCCTCGCTGATGTCGCCGCCGCCCTCCAGGTACACCGCCTGGCCGTCCACCAGGAACACGCGCTGCTCCGCACTCATCGCGGCGCCGGTGCTGCCGACACGGGGAGGCTCATGCCAGCCGTCGCATTCACTGTCGAGGCTCAAAGGACATGCCAGCCGAGTGATGTCACATGTGGATGAATGCGGTCTCATAAGTTGTGAATGTGTTTCATCAGCACAGCACAATGCTTTGGTGAGAAGACAATGTTAAAAATTGCTAATTCTGTTCACATGTTGTTCATTGAATAGTTACTGCATGGATCTTAAAAATTGCAAATACTGTTCACATGTTCTTCACTGAACACTTCATTGTTCTGGATGAACACCAGATGCACATGCAACCACTGAAATGCAAAAGCCAGAGTGTGTTAAAAAAGGTATACTGCTTTACTGAATGTCATGTTGATTATATTTTGATGGCAGTCTACCTAGAAAGCCATGTGCAAAGCTGACACTGGATGACTGACACAGGGAATGTACATCGCTGTAATAGTTCATGTTAGTTCAGAATCTGATGACTGATATCAGACCTGCTATTTTAGTCCTGATTGCTACTGTGTGACAGCAAAGTGAAAACGATTATACCACTAACAAAACAAAATCACTTGGGTCCATCTCTGAAATATGCCACAGTAGGCACAACAAACACAATAGTGGCAGCTAGAAATGTAAACACACCTGTCCTGACATGTACACACCTGCACCTCTTTTAGATGCACACAAAAGCCAGTAAGCTGATGCAAAGAACAGTAAGCAAGTGATATCTTTATGTTGAAAAGCCCAGAAGCTATATCAGTATGTGTGCCTCAAATTACAACATGCTATTCATTATGCTCAAAGCCACACAATTAAGCAGCAGTTTTGCTGGGCATTGAATGTTTTCACTGGTCACTAGACATGTGGAGCTGGATGCCTCATCACAGGAAACTGAATGCAATGATTACCAGTGCATGTCAACAGGGACCCAAGCATGCTACCATCCTAATAAAGCATGATTATAAGACCATGGTCACCAGGATAGAAAATTACATGTTGTTCATAATGTGCCAAGAATTGGCCATTTCAAAATGAAACACTAGCACTGAGAAATATATGCAAGTAACAAAGGAGCCTGTCTTTCCTTCCTTCTCCCTCTCAAGAGGGAAACATGACACATATCATCACAATTCTTTTATGAAGCACCAGCCACTGCATTGACCATATTGACAGGAGCCAGAGCACAAGCAAGTCTCCAACCCATACCCTTAATGTGAGAGTCTCAGAAGCTTACCACTGCTACCACTGACACCCTGCCCCTTTCTTTTCTAGTTTAAAGAGCAAAACAATTCAATTATAAGTGTATCACATGCATGATAGAATCAACAACTTCAGAGGTTGTATACTGTGCCAAATCAAACCAAGATGTAGATACTTACCTAGTACCAGTGATGATTCAGTTCAGTTTCTTGATTCTTGTTTAAAAGTTTGCTGTGGATCTTGAAACCTGAAAACATAAGCACCTGCTTCAGGTGGTCTAAACAGGAATTATATTAAGTGGTGATACAAGGAAAAAGCAAAGCTGGGGAGGGGCATAATAGGGCCACACCTCCCTCCCCATGCGCCTAAGTCTTTGTATGATTTTTTTAACAGATTTTTTCCAGCCTCTTTGGGCAGATAAATTTCTGAACAAAGTGGTTTGCACAAGCCACCTGAGAACTTTCTAGATTTAGTCCCAATCTACAGGAGGTTTAGGAACATTTGAACCCTTTCCTCCTAAGAAAACTTTTCCAATGTGTCTACAGTAATGTCATATTTGGTTATATGGTTAAATGAGTTGGACCTGCTAAATAAAAAGCTATAGCATATTACTCCAGCCCCATACAAATTTAGGTTCTGAAACCCACTCTTCTAGTTTTAACAGACACTTGACAAAATAAATATTGACATATTTGCAGTACATGTTGCTAAACAAACATAGCTATGATGTCATGCCTAAAAATGCTGCCGTGTTTGACAGTACCACGTGTGCTGCTCCATATAAAAAATCCCCATGCCCTACCATAGTGTTAGATTAGGGCACAGGGCACAGGGCAGTAAAATACACTGAAAATTTTAACATGACCCAAGGTTTTACTTTAAAATAGGGGATATAATTTAGTTTGCTATCAATCTGGCTGAAAATGGCATCACAAAATATCTGAATCTCTTTTTTCAAACCAACATCCTTAAGAAAATTGCATGGTACCATTTTTACCAAACAGGCTAATTTATATCTGAATGTACAATGATGCAAAATATTTCATCCATATTATAATCTTTACTTAGCAATTAGCAGCCTCCTGTTGATATAGAGGTTTTGAAGTGAGTTAACCACAGCAATCATTTAAGGCTGTACACAGCCTCATCTTCAAGACTTCAAATGTAGCCTAAGCATAAATATAACAGACAAACACACTGCATGGCTGTTAATTTAAGCTTTACATGTGTATAGAAGCAGCTAAATATTAGAAGTATGATGAAAACAGACGAGATGCTAATCTGAACAATATATGCATATCAATATGGCAATGAACATGAGCCTCAGCTTTTTGTTGATATCTTGGGACCCATACACTGCATTGATCACTTACATCCATTCCTTCTAAGCATCAAACTAGCAGCTTTCAGTGCCCCAATCTCCATGTAGCATGTATGTAGCAGGACCTTCAGCCTTCTTAATTGAAGCATTTTCTTTCCTTCCTTGAGCAACCATATGGGTCTGACATAGAACCACAACTCAACCCTTTGAGAATTCTTAGCATTTATCATGGCTACACCTACATCCTTATTAACAAATCATTGAGAACATCGATTAAATTTGATGGGAAGGGTTGGGCACAATATCCCCTTTTCTTAACAGCAATGAGCCACACCCCAACACAGCTTGCTGACAACTGTTTAGCTCACCACAGCACATAACTGGCCCGTCGTCATACAGGCCCGAGACCACCGCCATGACACAAAATGAAGCCAAACATTTATGCATCACAAACTGATAACATCTCAAATCCTGGAACCAAATGAATGCGCCATTTCTGCCTATTCGAAACTGTCGAGAATAAACTGCAAAAATAAGTTAAACATCTTTTTCAAAAAAGCAAAGCAAAGTTTCAAATCAGCATCTGAAAATTTGGTTTTGGAGTAATTTTCAATTAACACAAAAATGATGACAAACTAACCATCTATGAAGAAAACATCGGCACAATTTCCCACCAACCGTCCCTACCCCTGCAGCAAGCAGCGAAGCAATGGACGCCATTGCCAAAAAATAACTGCGCCTTATACCGTGCTGCCATATATGAAGTAGTGAAGGGAAACGCACAAATGCTAGTACTTATCTCCCGCCAGGTGACATCGCCATTTCTTTTCTTCCATTTGAACACATCTAGGGCTTTCATGTTCAGTTGGGTGGCTCCAGCCCCGCCCCACAACTTGGGCTCCAGCCACCCCTCCCCCCGACTCCAAAAAGAAGGTTGGCGAAATCCGAGGAGGGGCCGTTTGCCGGCTGATTTTGAGGTATAGGCCGTAACATTTTGCACTGGTCAGCCCCCCCCCCCACACCCTGACTCATTATGCAAAACTATGTCCCTTAAGATACATTTTACCCTCACGACCCTTTCAAAGAAACCAAACATATTTTAAACTCTTCGACTTCCCACTGCAATCCACCCCACGTGCCTTTGAAATATTTTGAAATGCGATGCAGTTAACCATACCGCATATAACGTTGTAACAGTATGACTGCAGGTATGTACCCAGTATGTGCCCATACCCGGCAGGTGTGTTCATCCCTGCAGTGACAGGTTAGGTGTTATATATAATTACATGCATTCATTGTATGCATTCCATGCATATAATTGCATTGTACCATTCCGGTTCAGAATAATCAGATGTACATCTGACTGATAAGATCATCGGTATAGCATTGGTGTGAAACTGCGTGCGTGGGTTGAACAAACTGCGTAATCGACATGTCTCCTAAGTGGATTTTCGTTTCTGGGCACACCGCATCAGACACAACATCAATGTTTGCGAAACACATCAGTGAACGTTTCTTTTTGCGGAGCCTTCGGGTACAAATGCCGCATTTTGTGAGAACAGGGACGAATACCCACGCTTGTCACTTTTTCTTTTCTCAGTACAGAGCCTAATATATCTGTGTCGCCGGCCACGGCGATGGGCTGCGTGGATTCATTCCTCCCCTCTGAAGCGATTTTAGCGCCACCGCCAGCAGGTGGTGGCGCCACTAGCGTGCTCCAGGGGGTCCATTCGAGCTCCCCCGACCGCCTGATCAGGTTGCAGGCAACTGCAAAGACTATTTCAGAGCTGCAGTCCTAAAACGGGGGAAAGACGCTGACAGGGGAGGATCGGGAGGGGGGGGGGGCGGGGCACGGGACCATGACACCTCCTGGGTCTCGAACAGACGTAGTGTCATACACAAAACGCAACAAAACTAGACGTCTTTGGGCTTTCATGCAATGAAGCACAGTCGCAAGAATTGTCACAGGAGAACTGAAAATAAAGAACCCACGAGTAGACAAAAATAGTTTTTCAAGAATTTAGAAGGTTGTGAATTGGAAATTTTAAGATTCATCATACTGTTCAGGAACCTACCCTGTTTCTGGTGCACCATGTGTTCACTTTCAAGGCTATTCCGACCATCAAGGAGCCTTTTACGTTGCCTATGCCTTTTTGCATTTGTTCGGAGGGCCCTGCGGTATTGCTGGGGCCCTTGGCGCTAATATGTCATGCACTTCTGTCAGTCAGGAGCCTTCCACGGTTGCTTCCCATTTGCGCGAAGCGTTTGCTATACACCATTGCCGGGCACCCCATATGCTAAATTGCCAGGGTATTCTCGGTTGTTCAGGAGCCTGTCACGTTAGTCCCGGTCAAGAGCGTAGCCAGAGCCCTGGCAAGGTGGGACAAGGCTGACAAAAGGCTCCCTGATCGCAAAAGGCCTCCAAAAAAACCGTCGGGTATGGTCGATTTGTGAATGATGGCATGTTTTTATCACACACACACACACACACACACACACACACACACACACACACACACACACACACACACACACACACACACACACACACACACACACACACACACACACACACACACACACACACACACACACACACACACACACACACACACACACACACACACACACACACACACACACACACACACACACACACACACACACACACACACACACACACACACACACACACACACACACACACACACACACACACACACACACACACACACACACACACACACACACACACACACACACACACACACACATATATATATATATGTGCGTGTGTGTGTGTGTGTGCGTGTGTGTGTGTGTGTGTGTGTGTGTGTGCGTGTGTGTAGTACACATCTTTACGTTCTGTAGCAGGAATATAGGTCAGATGCTACCACGAGATCAATTCTGCCTGATGTTTATAGCACATGAACTGAAAAATAGTGCGGTAAATGACTGCATGAAATAATTCACCGGCGCCCTCCATTTCACAATGGTCTAGTAAACCTTTTCTTAAACCGATAAAACTGAGAAAATTTATACAGGGATATCGAGTATTTCGCGAATGTAAATTTAATATCAAAATGGGTTAATAATTTGCATTAACGCGGGCTTCGGCGGGGTCAAAAAGACCCCTCTTCCAAAGGTTTTTCCAGAATGGTTTCCGAATGGCGCGACTGCGCGTCGCCAAATTTTGCATAGCTGTAGACAATTGAATAGCGGAGCGTTTGAAAGGAAAAAATCTGGATGTACCCCGTAAGGTCGCCGACCTACGGCAGGTCAAATTCAGGATATGAGTTCTGCGAAGCCAATTTCTAGGGAATCGTACAATCTGATGCAACAACGGAGTCTTAGACGAGACCACACATCTCTGAGATGCTTTCTTTGGTAACGCAACAATTGCATATGCAAGTTCCATTGACCTATGGTCAGTTTTGCACGCCAGACCAAGGTCAAAACCGATCTGTTTTATTACGCTAGGGCTTGCTGTATGAGGGAGTTTTGGGTGCTCATTTCGAATTTATTGATAAGAGAAACATTTTACATCTTCCATGCACTTTTCAAAGGCCCGAATAGGTCGCTGAACTAAAATCACCTATGTTAACATGATATTTTTGGGAACATACTGCTTAGCGTGATCTTGGTCGTTTATTCAAATGCAAAACTCAAACCTGACTGACACATAGGCCGATATCGACTCAAGGGGTTCCAGATCGGCGCGATTCGCCCGGTGGCGATATTTGAGGGTCCATCGTCTCGGGACGGGGCCCCTGAATAAAGCTCCGACCTGTCATTTATGCCCTCAGACCCTCCTATCGCGCGCTTGATCGTCGGACCTGGTGGGCCCTATAGGCTCTTCGAGTCTTCTCAAACACTGCCTCTGATCGACTCGAGGCCCTTTGACAATACCCTGTGGCCCCTGGGCCCCTGTAGGCGCCGTGACACCCGAACAATGTAAATCGCTGGCTCCGGCTTTGCCCTTGCTTGGGGAACGGGTCCTTAGGCCCATGCAGCCACAGAGTCGACTGTGCGCTACTGGTGATGTCTGACCAAAATATAGGCCCTTAACGACTCAGTGGACCCCTAATCAGCGCGCAGGGCCATCTGCCTGGCATTGGAGTGCTCGGCCCTGTGGTCTATGGTCCCCGATTGGGACCTCCGGGCGGCCTTTTGAACCCTTCGGTCCCTCGAATCGGCCCTTAATCGTAGGCTCCGAGGGGAGCCACGTGTCCCGCATGTCCCCTCACCGCCTGCACTGCTGGTCCAAGTTAACCTACTGGGGCACTCACAATATCCCCATCGGCTCTCTTCATTTGCCTAGAACCCTTCCAATGTTCTACCACCTGCTTAGGGCCCTACGGTTTTGTCAGGACCCTTCTGATAGCCTGCTCGAAAACGCTCGATCCTCTGCGGGCCTTCCAAGCTGGGTTTTGGGTATTCCTTAAGTGAATGGAGGATCTTACAGCTTAGTGGATAGAACTGTCGTACGTGCCGCCGACGTCGTCTTGCGTTATTTCCGTCGGTTATTCAATTCGTGACACATAGGATACTTGTGCATCGCAGTCTCAATGCATTTCGAATGCTAGGATACTTTGTACTCCTTCGTAACAGATAAAACAAATACTCTGCATGAAACATCAACCAGCAGCTGATCACATCAACTAGCCGGCTTGCCCCAATTAACCTAGAAATCATGTTCATGTTTGATTTTGATTGCATCCAGCAGCCAACTTTAGTTCATTTTGCCAATTTTCCTAAATCATCACCCACAAAATGATAAGATTTGCCATGATCTGGAGAAGAAGAATACACTCTGTACATGAGCATGCCTGGCATGTCTCATTTACTAGGGATACGCACAGTACGATGTGTTCCCGTATGAAGAGTATTCTAAGAATCGTAAGATTTAAAGGCTGCAATGTGCTTAACGAGATATGAGGATTTCTGGAGAGGCTCTAAAGTTGAAAATTAAGGGGTCCAAAAGGTTGCGTACCCCCCTCCCCGCCCCTCTCGACGAAGTCCTGGATCCCCTGCCCCCAGCCCACGCAGTTGTGGGTTAGCACGCGTGGCACGTTTATGGCGCCTGCGAGCGCTGGTCGCGCGAGGCGTTTCCGCGGGGGCATGACCGGTACCGGAAAACAAACAACATCGGCCTGCGTGCATTTCGACGTGGCTTGCTGGCATGATGAGCGACACTCAGGAGTCAGCCGCTGGACACTCCGGATGTTGGCATGATGAGCGGCACTCAGGGGTCAGCCGCTGGACGCTCCGGATGTTGGCATGATGAGCGGCACTCGGGGGTCAGCCGCTGGACACTCCGGATGTTGGCATGATGAGCGACACTCAGGAGTCAGCCGCTGGACACTCCGGATGTTGGCATGATGAGCGGCACTCAGGGGTCAGCCGCTGGACACTCTGGATGTTGGCATGATGAGCGACACTCAGGGGTCAGCCGCTGGACACTCCGGATGTTGGCATGATGAGCGACACTCAGGGGTCAGCCGCTGGACACTCTGGATGACAAACACAGATCCGCAGCGGACCTCCGGTCGCTCGCCGCTGGGGCTGGGGGCAGGGTCAGCGCTGGGCCCGCCCCCGCGGCTCCGAAGCATGCCACGACAAGCACGCACAACGCTGGAGACCAACGCAGAGGGATGTCACATACGATCCAAGCAGCACGCTTAGTGATATAGTACAGTGTATTAGGCTTACGAGTCGACATCGTACATGTAATTACAAAGTCAAAATCAGATACGACGGAGTTGGAATGCAACGGACATGGTGAGCGTTTGGAGTTGTGGGGGGGGGGGGGCAAAGGGACAAACGCCTCCACCCGAACGGCGTTCTGTCAACGCGACCACCGCAGTGGTTGCAGTGTGGTTTGCTAGCCTACGAATAACGACGGGCGTGGCGTTCCTCCGCAGTTAGTGGATGCGCGCGGAGAGCCGTTGTCAGCGGGTGGCACGCGGAAGTCACTGTTAGCGGGTGGCACGCGGAGAGTCACTGCCTGTCAGCCACGGCTCACCAGCCAACCATGGAGTGACGCAATCTACCCCGCCCGCTGCTCTGATAGCCTCACAGCTTGTAGTGCTTGCGGAACTTGGGGTTCATCCTCTCCAGCTCGAGCTTCTGCGCCTTCTTGGACAGCATGGCGAACAGTTCAGGCGAGATGGTAGCATAGCCCTCCGTGACAAGGGCGGGTTCCACCGGAGCCGCCGCCTCCGCCGCCTCCGCCGCCTCCACCGCCTCCGCCTCCTCCCATAGTCGTCCGCCGCATACTCGGCCATCGCCAACTCCTCGTCCGCGTACCCGGCGTCCGCCTCCCCATAGTCCTCGTACTCGGTCGGGTCGTCCAGCAGCACCACGTCGTCGGCTGCGATCAGCTGATAGTCGGCGTCGTCGGCCTCGCCCAGCGTCAAGTACTTGCCGCCACGGGCGGCGGTCGGGGGCGGCGGCGCACGCTTGCAGCGCAGCTCACGCCGCAGCACCTCGTACAGGCCCCAGTGGCGGTACTGTTCCGGCTGGTGGCAGCGCGGCTCCACGCGAACGTCGTAGGTCAGGTGCTCGCGCTCCTCGTGTTTGCACACGCGGCCGCTAGGGGCGCTGCTGTCCCACCGGCAGATGGTCGCCCGTGAGCTGCGCACCTGTGGTGAACGGAAGGTGAGACGCGGGCGGCTATGGGACAGGGAGTATCGAGCAGACTGGCGGGATGAGGGGAGCGCCGGTGGCTTACGCAAGTAGCGAGTGCATGGTCCCAATGAGCCATACCTAGCAAATGGAGCGAAAGGTGACAACGCATGAGCTTCTCTGTACTGGGTGGTGCACATCTATATTGTTTTGCTTGCAACTTACAGGTACAAGACAAAGCTCCGGAAGCATTCGAACTATGCCTGCGCTTTAACAGCGATGAATGTAGGATGAACCAGTGCTTACAGATTATTTGCGGTAGAGGTCAAAGGTGAATAAGCGAATTCGTATCAACATTGTCGCATGTAACCTGAATCTTGAGGTGTTATAGAGCATGTTCAGCAAATGTTTTACTCAGTCGTCTCTACAAAAAATGCCCGTATTTTTCACTCAATCCCAGAATTGGCTAATCAATAGACACGTGAAATTTTGTTGTGTCCCATGTCTAAGTACACTAGCTCACCTGGCCTTGGTTCACGTTGGTTCGGCGGTAGGCATAAAATCACACTGAATGTGGTTATCTCTCCCAGCAAGCACCAGCCGGAGCTAACCATCAATACGGAACGCGACTAGACGCCCACTTCGGCCGCATGACGGTGGTCGAACACGACGGTTCAGGAGCTGTCTGCAGGGGTACCGAGCTGCGGTCTCCCAGGCCCCGCCCAGACCACCTGTCAGGTGCGTTCGTCCCTCCACACGCACCTTGTTGGTCATGGCGGCGCTGAGGAAGGACAGCTGGCAGCTGCACTCCCACGGGTTGTGATGTATCTGGAGCAGCTTGGGCCGCACCGGGCCCAGCACGGCCGGCGACAGCCAGCTCAGCAGGTTGTGGTGCAGATACACCTCGCGCAGGGCCACCAGCGGGCTGAACACCTCGGACGGCAGATCCTCCAGCAGGTTGTGCGACAGGTCGAGCACGGTGAGGCGCGCCAAGCCGAGGAACGCGTCCTGCGACACTTCCTCCAGGTGGCAGCGCGACAGGTCGAGTCGCTCCAACGCTCCGTTGGAGCGTAGCGCGTCAAACTCCAGGCGTGGCACCGAGCCATGCAGCTCGAGCTCGACCAGCCGAGGCAGCGCGGCGAACTCGACGCCTGTCAGCGCCGGCAGCGTCACGTTGGCCACGGTCAGCTCGCGCAGTTCGGCCAGATGGTCGAGCGCGTGCGGCATCAGCTCGAGCGGCACGTCGGCGCCGCCCAAGCGCAGCACCTCGGTGCGGTTCATCATGTCGAGCGCGCCGCTGTAGACGAGCTGTGTCGGGTTGCCGAGCAGGCTGAGCTCGCGCAAGCGCGGGAACGGCGCCAGCGAGATGTACGACAGCTCTGAGATCAGGTTGTTGGAGAGGTCGAGCTCCTCGAGGTCGAGCAGCCCGGCAAAGCTCTTCATGTTGATAGTGAGCAGGTTGTCGGCGAGCGAGAGCCGGCGCAGGTTCGGGCAGCCGTAGAAGGCGAAGTCGGGCACAGTGCGCAGCAGCTGGTGCTCGACACTCAGCTGGCGCAGCGCGTCCAGCCCCTCGAACAGCTCCCACGAGATCTCCTCTAACCCGGCGTGCGCCAGTCGCAGGAAGCGCAAAGCCGTCAGATTGGCAAAGTTGGAATAGCGCGGCGCCTGACGTTGCCGGAACTCCTCGTACGGCACGATGCGCGGCTGCTCCTCGACCAGCAGGCTGTGCGGCGCGGACGCGCCGTCCAGCTCTTCCACACGGTACTCGGCCACGCTGGGCCCGGCCGGGTCTGGACTCAGCAGCACGTGCTCCAGGTGGAGGTACTCCAGCCTCGTCAGGCCCCGCAGCGCACTGTCGCTGAGCGTGATGAGGCTGCGCGGCGCGGCGCCCGGCTTCCAGCAGACCGTGGTAACGGTCGGCGCGTGCCAGCAGCGACGCCAGGTCATTGGCGTGCAGGCCGCCGGCCGCCGCGTGCTCATGCTCGTCGTGTGTGTGGTAGCCCTGGATCTCGAGACCGCGCAGCTGGCGCACACCGTCGAACTCGGCGGACGCGCAGGTAGGTCGGTTGCATGTCGGGCGCTTGCAGCAGCGACAGGAACTGGAACGGAGCGGCGCGTAGGCGGTTAGAGAGATCTGAAGGCGAGCGGGCAGAATGACACGAGGGTGAGTCGTCGCAGTGTGTCCTTGTGCTCGGAGCACCTCAGCTGGTTGGCCGATCAATATCAACACGCTGGAGCAGATCGACGCCCCAAAGTGCCCAAAAGGATCAAAAGAAGAGGGAGTTGATGTTCAGACCTAAACTGAAACGCCGGCCGGAACGGGACAGATGCGGCTAGTCAGTACAGAACGGAATCAAATGGCCAAAACGTGACGGAAACTGGCTGTCAGTAGGGAACTGGAAAGGACAGCCAAGACGGCACAAAAATGAAAAGCCGGAGTGAAACAGAGACATGTGATCAGGGTGAAACGAGAACTGGCAGACTGAGGCTGGTGAGAAGGGAACTGGAATAGTCGGTCAAACCGCTGTGAGAGGGCGGTCGAAACCAGAAATGTATGTCAGAACAAAGCAGGGCGGCTAAAACCAAGGAAGAAACGGCAATCAAAACGAAAAGGAGGTGAGTGGTCAGAACGGAAAAAAATCGACGGGCGCCGTTAATGTAGTGGTTAAGCTGCGTATCCGAGAAAGCGGAGGTAAGGGGTTCGATTCCCCGCGGCGTCCATCCCCCCCCCCCCCTATGGGGAAATGCAGGCGACCCTATATAGTCTCAGCACCTGAGTGCGTCGTTAAGCCCCAATGACAGCAGCAACGGAAATGAAATGGGCGGTGAGAGCAGGCTAGGAACGGGCCACTAAAACACAACAGGAACGGGCTGTTAGCACCGCAGAAGACTGTTCAGATATTTATTGGGCTGGCTCTCGACAAGTTGAAGTGATGGCGGGTGGGTCCCGCTTCGAGGTGAGCTGTATCCTTCGCACATGCCGATGATGATGAGCCCGCCAGTGGCGGTGTTCCGAGTACCCCGGGCAAGCCGCAAGGTGTGCGTGTGCTCCTGTATCTGAGATGCCTGCCGGTGATCTCGCGCCCACAACACGAGAGCGTGCTGCATGAGTGTCGCGTGTCATCGCGTGCAACCGTTGTGTCCTGATTGTCAATGTGTCACTTGTGAAAATCACGTGCGACGGTGTGGCATACGTGTCAATTAATGACACACACAACAATTTATGACGCGTAATTCATGTGTTCTGAGTGGCAATGTGTCACTTGCGAAAATATCTCGTGTGGCAATTTGGCAGTGTGTCAGTTTATGACGTTAACCCATGTGCCGCATGTGACAATGCGTCCTGTGTGGGAGTGTGTCGTGTCCTATGATTTGCTACGCTTAAAAACGTGTCACGTGTGACAGTTGTTGCAAGTAGCAATGTAGCATGCACAACAAAATGTGGTGCGAGGCAATGCAACCTGCGGGACAGTTTCTCACAGTTGACAACGAACCGCGCGTGTAAAGCCATTTTAGTCAGTGTCGTATGTGGCAATGTGTTGTTAGTAAATGTTTACACAGTGTCGTATGTGGCAATGTAGCGTATGTGATTCCGTGCCGTGTGAGTTTGATAAAACACTGCAAATAACGATACGCCACGTGTCGCAATATGTCGTACATGGCACTGCGTCAGGTGACAGTGTGTCAGCGCAATAATTGTCCCGTGTGACAACGCGTCGTGTAACCTTACCATGGCAATCAGGCAGTGCCATCTGTGGACGTTGTCGTCATCTACATGGGTACGTCAGTGACCTGACCTGGGTATCGGCCGGCAGACTGCTCATAAGCTGGGCGGCCTCAGTCTCGCGCTGCAGCACGCACACCACGGAGAGCACTGACTCCTCCTCTTCATGTCCACCCTCCGCTGCCGTATGGTTCAAGCCCTGGTCGACAGGCAGGCGACGGATGTAAATGGCCGAGCGGGCGGCGGACACTGTCATGTTCAGGAGCGTAATGGCCCTGTCTTTGAGGAGCGGTCACCGTTGTAGAAGTTGGAGACAGAACAGCACGATATCTACACACCAGCGTATCGCGATGCGCGGCGAGCGAAATCGCACATAGGTGGGGTAGCCCGTGGTCAAATCCTCGAGATGTCTTCAGGCTGGGCCGCGTCTCCCGCGGACCGCCGGGGCGCTCCTCCGAGCGCAACGCCAAACCTCGTGGTGATGGTAGAAGTCCCAGTGGTGCTGCGATTCGTGGTCCCTGTCTCCCGTCTCGTGCCAGCGTACGAGCGGCACGTGGCTGGGCGGCGTCTGGTGGCACGTGCAGACGGCCGGACACGGCAGGCGGCCAGGCTGCCTCTCGACTGGCTCACTCTGCGCCAGGCAACCACGCCGTCAAATAATGCACGGCTGGCACGGGAGATCTGAGTTCGATTTCTGTCATTGAAACTTCTACTGGACCCATTATTTTCTGGTGGGAGATGATAAAATGGTGAACTCAGCAGCAAATTTCCTTTATTTCATTCACTCGTTTCATTTTCAAAGCATTAAGCAATTATACGCATGAATAATTTTACTGGTATGCCTTTCAACGTCACGTTAAACCTACAGCGGGCCAAAATCATGTTTTTATGAGAAGTTCGCCGATACCACAACTCAAAATTCCTCCCGCTTGTCAATATACAACACTTCAAGTCATGTGAAGACAGTAACCCTGCCAGGAGGACTGATCCCCATGACCCCGCCAGGAGGACTGACCCCACCCACCCCGCCATGAGGACTGACCCCGCCCACCCCGCCATGAGGACTGACCCCACTGACCCCGCCAGGAGGGCTGACCCCACTGACCCCGCCAGGAGGGCTGACCCCCATGACCCCGCTAGGAGGACTGACCCCACCCACCCCGCCATGAGGACTGACCCCGCTAACCCCGCCAGGAGGACTGACCCCCATGACCCCGCCAGGAGGACTGACCCCACTGACCCCGCCAGGAGGACTGACCCCCATGGCGGGACAGCGGCCGTGTCGGCCGAGGTCAGTCTCACCGTGACCAGCACGCTGAGCAGCAGCAGCAGGCAGGTGACGCCGGCGGCTGCCATGGCCGATGACACCGGCGAAAGGGCGGACGCACGGTCCCGGCGGCGGGGACGCACTGCTCTGCAGCCGCCGGCGGCGGCGCAACGGATGCCGACTCCGGAAGCGCCCGCACACGTGGACGTCGCGGCTCTCAAATCCGTCTGGGCCTCGTGCACTCGGGCTTGGAGATGCGGACTTCCGATGATGAAGCGACACTTCCCTTCGGGCGCTGCATTTAGGTGGTGTTAGCAACATAATGGAGGGAAAAGAGCGAGATGGAACGTTGCCATTTCCAACTCATTTCGTGATCTTTTGTTAAATTGTGCGGGAAGGTGGCAGGTGGTGCAGGAAGGTGGCAGGTGGTGCAGGTGGCATATCCAACCCTGGTTGGTTCAAAACTTATTTGAGTGGTCAGAGACAGGTGGTGCATGGGAGCCTGCCGAACCTTCCGATAACCCAAGGAATGTCCTACGGATCCATGGCCGGTCCGCTTTTATTCACCATATTCAGCAAGCACCCGCCCAGTCACCTGTAATATGGGCGCATAAACTCACATGCAGATGACACCCAGCTCCTGGGCCGCGCTTCTCCCAACCAGCAGAGTCCCGACACATTAAATTGTCGTTTGGAAATATGGGTTTGCGGACTTCAGGCTTCGTTTAGCGCAAAGTTTGAAAATGAATGAAGATAAAATTGGCTTCGTTCTCATAGACTCAAAACAATTTTAAAAGGGCTGCCATTTCCGCTGTGCGATAGCTGGAGACCCCATGTATGATCAGGGACTCGACTCCTCCGTGGGAGAAGCACGCCGACAATATCGTTCAAAATGCATCGGAATTATAACATATGAATCGCGATCTGCACCGCCTTAGGCATTACTTTACACCTGATCTGGTGAAAATTGTTATGGAAGCCGGCGTTTTCACAGCCATATCATACTGCCTATGTGTATGGAGTGGCACGACCAAGTGCCAGCGCCAGGCGCAGAAAATTATAAAAAACAACTCTAAATTCCGCCGCCAGGACTGTCTCTGGTATGACACACAGTTAGCGTGTAACACCGATTCTGGAGTATCTAGGCTGAGCACAGATTGATGAATTGCTGTAACAGAGGGACATGCTGAAATCATTCAAAGCGCTGAGATGCTAGCAGTCGTCCCCAGCTGACCAATCTTCTTCCAATCCACGTTCCTCTCATTAAGAGAGACGCGCTCCTCCGTGCCAGTATTCCTCCATCCGCTCCAGGTGCGGGTTGAAAGCCACCAAGCGAGCCCTTCCTTATCGTGCCGTGGCAACTTGGAGCCGCCTGCCTCCGACCACCACCATGTGTTCAGCTGAGGTATTGGAAACTCGCATTTCAAACACAAATATTGTTCCACTTGCCTTGGTTTTAAGCTCATACCGGTGAGATGTATGATTGTACGTCAGATATGTGTATATGTACATGCGTCATATATGTGTGATCTCTGCATGTCATTGCAGATCCCATGTGCTTAAAATTTGTATTCATTTATCTTGGTATATGTGTTTTGGGTATGGCAGATTCTAATGTTATTAATTAAGGGCATTTATTGTATTCATTGTTCGACTTCGTTCGCATGCTATAGTATATTTGGTGCTTTTATGTGTTAATAACGAATTGTAGCAAGTGAGTGAGTGTAACAAAACCTAGCCCAGCATTGCAACCAACCGAATACCCGAAAAGCCACTCCGTGGAAGGATCTCGAGCAGACACAACTGCAAACACGAGCGCTATTCTTACACGTACCGCTATGCGCGCCTCCAACATGCTCACAAGCCGTAGGCCTCTGAATACCGGGATGCCTGCCCACCACAGGCAAGTGGCAGTGGCAAGTGGCACACTCCGAAGCCAGTGTGCTTGCCACTTGCTGCCGAGTTGGACACCATGAGCTTGTGAGTTTGTGAGCCGCGGGGGTGGCACAGCCGGCTGCTGCTTCCTGTGGCGCGCCGTTGCTATCGGGTCTCTTCCTGCGACCGCTCACCAGCGGCCGCACCGGAACCATACGGGCCGGAAACGGCCCGCAGGCCGGCTCTGGCGCCACGGAGCCGGCCGCTCCCCCGCACGGAAGCCGGACGAAGGCGTGCTACAGCGGTCGGCGGAAGGAGTGTGTCCATCTGGTAACGCTCCTTACCATTACAGGATGTCTCGGAAAAGCCTGGCGTTGAGCTGTGAGCAGAATCTTTCTGCGCCAGTTAAGGGGTCCCCGGGTTGCGGATGAAAAATCTGATCTGGTTACCTCTCAGTGATACCCATGGTATATTGCGTGCAAACACTACGGCCAGTAAAAAATGTCAGTTTCGGTCTATCCCTCTCTCGTTCTTTCACGTTTCTCTTGTGTGTATGTTTGATTTCTCACGTGACTTATTGTGTGCTGTGCTATGCTGAACACCGCATCATGCAGTTCGTTCGCTACAGTTCATACAGTCATCACACAGTCTCAGGCACCATTTCTCTCCGCAGTGGCTACCATAATTGCCACAGTGAGACACTAGCGGTTCAGTTATTCCTCTACTTCCTGTGACACAACAAGCGGTCAGCGTCGCATACCGGGCGAACAAAATATACGATTTGTTGCGCTTTTAGTTCCCCTCCCCGGGCGTCGCCGCAGTCCGGCCCCGTAGACGTTTGTACTAGTATTGTGACTGTGCTCGTCTATGCAATGTAGCTACATGATCCTTGTGCCTAACGGCACCTATTACATAGCGCAAACCCGAGTGAACTATTCCCCGCTGGTCCACTGCAGGTCCAGGGCGCTAAGAGTGACCTAATACTCAATGTGACCTGAGGTCAAGTCAGGACACTCTGTTAGGGCGCAGCGACACTGACTGTGCTGCGCAGCCTCCCCACTCCCTACAGAGTGTCCCCTGGGTGAGCTGCGAGCTTCTGGACAGCGGAGACCACGGCGCGCCGCCGATGACACCGCCGCGTGACGAGCTCGACCAGCAGGACGACCAGCGCCAACAGGATGCCGGCGGCGTACAGCAGGAACGTGGAGACCAGGTCGGCCAGCGCGAGCGGCTGGATGCCCACGTCAGTGAAGATGAGGCCCGTGCTGCAGTTGGACGACTTAGGCCAGAACATGGTCTTCCACTTGTTGAGCAGGCCCGTCTCGCTCATCCGCAAAAACCTGCGTCAGGGGCGTTTCTCAGAGCGTGGCCGGCGCGCGGACACTGAGGTGCGACTGGCGGCGGAGGCACGGGCGCTGGCGGCCGCCGAGAGTGCCCCCGACGTAACGTTGACTCTTGTTCCAACAACGTGAAGTAGATCTCAATCTTGTCTAAACTCAGTCTCTCCAAGAGCTCTGAAACCCGTGAACATTCGCACCGAATTCCTACAAGATCGCCAAGTATATATTGCAAACCGCTCGGCTCAGGTGGCCATGACTCCGTGCTCTTCCTCCTTCGCTACATCCCTGGCTACCAGCTGTCAATAATTGTCCAGCTCTCAGATCTGACTCGGACACATTTCCCGTGCAACGCTGCTCCGCGCACCCGGGACATCGAGCAGAAATTGTTTTGTTGTAGATCCCACTTGGTTCGCTGTTTGAAGAACCGGGCTGGGACGGGTTGGCAGCCAACAAGGCCAGTGACGCCAACATTGTACTGCCTCTAGTCAAAATAGCCTTGATTCTCATCTCAAGGGTGCACATTGTGTCTAGATTACTTTTGCTAAGCTTTCAACGCCTGTGTCATTTGGCAATCCCCTGCGCATGGACACGATATGCCCAGCGTTGCACGAGCCTTGCAATGTGTCTTCATCTTGCAATGTCTGCATTAATTGGCGATCCCATGCGGGTGTGGATGCTATATGCATCATTGTTGGAGCTGCGCGGCATATTTTCGACATCTGGTCTTTGCACAACTTGTTTTTTCCGTATATACAAACATATTCGGAGGAACGTCTCAGAACGCGGCATGTCAACACTGATTTTGGAGTCGGTCCTTTACATGCGTTTTCGAAGGGTTAATGCTCCGCATTCTGGAAAAGTGATGGTGCCATGACACTCAAGGGCCCAACGTCCAAACGCCTGTGTACACGGAAAGAGTACCGCCCCTAAATGGCAAAACACGGCCCCGTCTTGCACGTGCTGTGACCAACATCGGCGTCGAACGGGCTTGAATATATGCCGTTTGTCGTTACGCAATTTGAACCCGTGGTATGCGTAAATTTCGTGACAATCCGAACAGCCGTTTATGTTAAGCATCTCGCTATAGACAAGGACAGCCAGACGGAAAGATGACAGGCATACGCTCCGGAATGTGTGAATTGCACATTTATGACCAGCAGTGATTTACGTGATCTGCCTGGTGATAGCAGCCAGCTATCGTTAAACCACCCAACTGCGCCGGTCGGGAAATCACAGTCACATCCACGATCACGATCACGTTCACGTTCACGATCACGATCACCATCACGATCACCATCACGATCACAGTCACCATCACCATCACCATCACCATCACCATCACCATCACGATCACCACCACCGTCACCATTACCATTACTATCACCATCACCATCACCATCACGATCATGTTCACGATCACGATCACAATCACGATCATAATTACGATCACGATCACAATCACGATCATAATTACGATCACGATCACGTTCATGATTACGATTACGATCGCCATCGCGATCACGATTACGATCACGATCACGATCACGATCATGTTCACAATTACGATCACAGTCACGATCACGATCATGATCACCATCACCATCACCATCATGCAGCGCTCACTCCATATCGAACAGCTCCTTCAGTGGGCTGCCCGTCTGCAGGACCCAGCCGAAGCCGACCGTATAGAAGTCGCGCTCGGCCACTTGTAAACGGCAACGTCCCGTGCGTCGAAAGTCCTCGTCCAGTGCGAAGTCCAGAAACGACCGCTCCTGCCGACGAGCGGGCCGTAACGGTCAGGCGTCACGCGGGCGGCGGGGGCGCCTCGCACGACCGCGCAGTCCACAGCACCACCGACACGTCAGGCTGATTGGACGTTAATGTCAGCTTGAGGTGCGGCTCCCACGACCCATTGTGCTTCGAAGCCGACAACAATAAGCCGGCGCAGAAAATCCATGTTTTGGGACGTAAACGCGCAATAAAAGGCGGGTGACTAAAGTCTGGGAATGCTGCTGCTGACTGCTGCTGGGAACGCAGCCGATGCGATCTTCTTGCAAGCAAGGAGGTGGCCTGAGTTTCCCCAGGGAAGGACATGAAAATCTCGCATCTTGGATCGAATACATGTGAACTTGAAGGTATTTAGCGTGGATATTTTTGCTCTTCTCCCTCAGCTAAATATGTTCCCGCTTGTAGCCCAAGTGCGCTGTTGCCCACACTATAACCGACACATCCACGATCATACTGCCGCCTTACCTGAAACATTTATCGACAATCACGTGCCCAAAGAACGATTTGGATCGAAATCATGTCTTACGGAAGCGGAGGCGCTATTGCGTACGTACGGCGATAAGAACCCTTTATTGCATGACTCAGGCCAGCGTAGGCCTGACAAGGAGACATAAACGACGCTATCGGTAGTTCGTCATGCTTCACAGGCAAACATATTTCGGAAGAGCCAACACAACAACTGAATGTAGATCCGCGGCGTGAGCAATTACTAGCTTAGCTTTATACCTTAATGAAAAACTTCACGAGCAGCCCAGCCCTTTTGTGTAGAAATGGCCATAAAGGTATCTAGCAGGCGAAAATGACTGCACTTTCAGTGCGGTACGGCCGACTGCAACCTTTCGCTGGAGCCGTCACCTTGATGAAGGCCCACTGTCCGGTGAGCACCTTGTCGACGCCGGCGTAGTCGGTGGTCACCTTGGCGTCCGTGTACTTAGAGGCTATCCGGGTGTAGGCGGACGAGCCGGACGTCTGCCGGGCGATGGTCTGCGTTCAGTGGGGCTCGGCCGGGGGTGTAGCGGGTCATCACCCGTCGGCTTTGACGTCTACCAGGGAACACTCAGCGTTCAGTGGGGCCCGGCCGGGGGTGTAGTGGGTCACCTCGCGTCGCCTCTGACGTCTGCCAGGGAACAACTCAGCGTTCAGTGAAGCCCAGCCGGGGGTTGTAGTGGGTTATCGCTGGTGATGCTGACGGTTCTGGAGCGCTTAGTGGGACTTGGCCCGGGGTGTGTAGCGGGTCACCGTCGCTCAGGCGCTGAGGGCACCTGGCACCGCTGCTGGAGCTAGTCATGTATAGGCACCGGAGGCGAGCGCCACTGAGCGTGCACGGCACACATGGCGAACCTCGCGTGAACATGATAAACAGACGGCCGCTGACGATGATAGGCGGTAATAGACGGTGATAGCCAAGCGGGGCTTCCGCTTAAACTCGAGCTCGGGCATTATATTGAGCATGAAAGCACACCTTCAAGCTCTGCCGCTATTAAGACTCGAACAATAGTAGGCAAACACGTGTTTGTTGGTATGTCACCTCGCAACGCATGACCAAATGGCGACACAAATGTCAGTCCTCTCAGAACGGAAGTGCATCACGTGAGCAGGAAGTGCTGTCATGAGCAGTGTGAAATTGCCTTAAGGCGCCCTGACTGGAGATACGCTGCAATGCCAGGCGACCTGCGGGTGCTAAACGACAGGCTCGTGTTCCAGCACCACTCCGGATGTCTGCGAAGGGCACCGACATGGAAGAGGTTGTCCATGGCCGAGTAGATGCGGTAGGTCCACTTGATCTCGTCCTGCCCAGCCAGCTCTTCCAGAGACTTGATCGAGTCGGCCACGCTGGGCACCGTCAGGAAGGCGATCAGGGTGCCTGGGAACCCACCTGAGGTCAGGCTTCTTAAGCAATCGTGCGACACAAACCGGCAGCACTGATGCAGCAATGAATGCATTGATGAATGACTTGATGATGCGATGATGCATTGAATGAATGCGCTGGCATTCTGCAGCAGTCAAACATGCCGCCATTGGTCTAAAAGTAGCTCTCGACACACCAATTAGCGTCATACAATAAATGATATTCTGGACTCGATATATAATGGTCGAAAATATTCCCTCACGTTTAGAACTGCCTAGCGGCCATATGCTCGCAACGTTAACACAGTATAGATGATTGATAATCAGGTAGCGTGCAAGGGATCCAGCTGTTTGTCGTCTTTTACTATGCATCTCACTTTGTCCATTTCCGTCGCAGTTCCTAGTCTCAGGCGCTTACGGCGTTTACCGCGGAAGCCGTTCGGACAGCGTAGCAGGAGCCAGCTTTGGCGGTCACTCAAGAGGGAGCGGAAGATGGGCTGAGGTAACAATGCAGTGAAACGAGACAAGTCCCCTTTGTCGGCGCCTGACATGTCACGGCGTGACATCTGATACGCCTCCGGCTAACCCGTGCGTGCTTACCAGTGTAGCAGGCCATAAGAGTGATGGCGGCCAGCCACCAAAACGAGAGCAGCACGCGAGACGCCATGTTGGCCGGGATGCTGTGACCGCCTGGCAACGAAGGCTGGTTGCCAGGCACCGGGCAACAAAGAACATCTGACCACACCAGGGCTCATGCCACGGCGATTTAGGTAAATCCTGAGTGTTTTTACAGTACCGCTGTTTGCGGTGGCAGGTCAATTATGTAGACATCTGGAGTCGAAAGAGATCTGCGTGGCCGTGACGTTGATCGAAGAAATGACGTCAGAGCAAACCATCACTGAGATGAATAGTAGCAGGGCTGGTAATTCAGTGCCTGATCAGACGCACATTATTGCATTTTTCTGATTTTCTTCTACCGGTCATCACCTGCAATGGTAAAGGTTTTTTTTTAAAACACCTTTCTCTTCTTCATTCCCCACACTTAAATGGAAAATTACAAATTTTGCGGTAGGGTACACATTGTAAGACCAATTAACTTATATGGAGACTGAAAGTGAGGGGCCTAAAAGCCGGTCTTACCTTGTCCAATAATTCCGGCGAAGATGAACCACTGCATCTGTGAGTAAGTCGATTTCGCACCGTGATCGTGTGGGTAGAGTTTCGGGGCGTACGGGTTCACGCGGTCTAGAAGATACAGCAGGGGCGTGATGCACGTCACAGTGACACCAACTGCAACCCAGACCTGCAACAAAGGCGGGAGCCAACTGCAGTGAGAAATCCTCACCTGCTGGCAGCCAGAAGCCTTTCACACATGGCTGAAAATAGCTCCTAAAAAAACCACGATGATGGGAGATCAGCCTGATTATTCTTTATGTACACCGACTCGCCCAATTGCCAACATGTGAGACGGTCTCTAGATGCTGGTTTACTTTTTAAGCATGGTATGTTCACTGGAAAGCTTAAAGGGGATGTTTCACATGTGAAAATATTGGAGCATGCATGAGACATGATGAAATAAGTACACTTATTAGTATCGACATGCTTTTTAAGTGGAAAAGACTCCCCTACACAGCAAAATTCTCTGTTGAGTTAATGTGCTCCCCAAGGCGTCATCGTTTGATTACGCCAGCGTACCTTGCACAGTATTGGTGGTGAGCCAATTGACGGCCGTTTATTTTTGTTACCTTGATCACCTCATGGCTAATGGAATGGCAGGATTTAAATGACGGTATTATGAAGTCATGAAGCCCAAGGCGACTTTGAAATACTCTCCTTGTTACACTTTTTCCCACTGTCACGGGCGTATAACTCAGAAACTAGAGGGGTTTAGGTCTTAAGAAGGGCAGGATTGTGAACATTGATTGTGATTGCAAACGAAAGGCCTTCAAGATGGCGATTTCAGTTCAGGGCGTGTAGCTCAGAAACTAGAGGGGCTTAGGTCTTAAGAAGGGCAGGATTGTGAACATCGAGTGTGATTGTAAACGAAAGGCCTTCAAGATGGCGAGTTCAGTTCAAAATCCAAAATAAATGTGTAACACTTCCTTTAACGCGAGGGTCTTTGCCCTTCGTCCTTGGTCTGAGATGCAAGAACATTTTTTTCAAAGTTGTAATCGAAGCTTTTGAATAGATGAATTTCGGGAGTCAGAACTCACGCTAACCAGTGCTTGTGTGAGCCTTGGTTCCCAACATCCGATCACGTAATTCCAGGTCAACGGCAGAATTTGAGGCGAAGGTGTAGCGTGCCGCAGTGCTCGGCACGGCCCGTTCTGCCCTCTGGCGTTACCTGAGCTTTAACGCGGTCGCTGCCACCGGCCGCTGCCACTGGTCGCGGGCCATGTATGTCAAATACGAATAGCGAGCGCGTAAAACGACACGAACCCAACAACCACGGATGGGTGGATTAGAACGTAGACGCTCTTGCCAACTGGGCTACGGGAACAAACATGTAGGTGCAAACTTACGCAGTTTGACGAATCCGTATATCAAATCAAACAGTGAGTATATGTTCTGCTTGGTATAGGTAAAAAAGCTCTTGAGCTCCTGGTATTGATATGGGTATCCAAGCTATCGATGTTTTTTAATAACTTTATTTATTCTGACATACTTTTGCGCAAATCTGAGAATGCGTTTCAAAAAAAAAGAACTAGAAAACGGACATATGTTTATGACTCTCCCTGCATCCTCCATCTTATCCCCATCACTCTTCCAGCAGCGTCACTGTTGCTGAGTACCATTCCAGAACATTATAACATTAAAAACAATTTACATATCCCGCGCATTCGGGTTACGTGGGTCATTCCCAGTAATTCGGAGTTAGCCTTTACTTTGAAGTACCGTCAAATGCTATCTAAAATATTTCGTGAATTTGTATCCACATTTAAAGATTTCGATGGCCAGGGATAACTGACAACTCGAAATGTGTTTCATTGTCGTTTAGCCTGCGCAAAGTCGGTGCAAGGACCTTTCACGAGACCGATTTAAAAAACCGTGTGTTCTTGTGCGTATAAATCTTTAAATCTTAAACCTTGTTTGACCTAAAATAGGCCGTCACAATGATATAACTTTAAGACCAGGCATTTATACACAAAGCACCGGCTTGCTTATCCAGCAAGTCACCTTTTTCTTTTTATTTTACCATCCAAGGTGTCGTGAATGTACATATTCGCCCCAACCAGGCGCCTTTTCCTCGTAAGTCAAATTTGCCGATCGAACTTCCTGAAGCGTGTGAACAGACCTGAACTCAACCGGCTGTGCTGCATCCACGCGCCACACGCCTGTCCCATGGGATACGCCTAACGGTTCATGTTGCGCACAGCTAACATGAATGCGGCATCGATAGAGGGAAAAGTGCTTTTTTACAGACGTCATTGGTGCCCGATGAGATGACCGAGGCGAACACTGTTACCTGAAGCAACGAATAAGCTGCAAGCAACCATGCTCTTCGAGATCATCTCGGAGGGTGATAATGATGTCATAAAAGTTTAAAAAAACCGTGCCTTTGGCTAGCAGCAGGCAACAGGCTCGATAGATAAGACAAATGAATGGTGACGGGACCTAGTACAGCCGTGCGGGCCAAAGCGGAAGAACGTTATCCGCTGGATGACATGTGATTGGACGAGCAACAATACTGCCTCATTTACGCAAATAATGAATGATGTTTGCTTCGAACTGATGGTACCATTGATTTATTCATTTCCAACGACGTTTTGCCGATACTCGACTAATGCTGAGCAAGTCGTGGCATTAGAAACGCACGAGACTTGGTGCGGAATTCGCCGCCCATTTGCCTGAGCTATGAGAAAATGAATCGGGGTCCAGCAGTTACCGCCGCGATGTAAGCCGTGGCTGGAGAAGCGCCGCGTGAAGAAAAATGCTTGGGAAACTCTGAACTGACTTTTCCGTACACGGCACATATGTGAACTGGCTTTGATCGTGCAAGGCTCACTATTATTTGCGAAAATCGCCATTTGCGTCCTTTAACCACCACGCAGCGCCAGTGTCACCACCAAGCAAATAGCCGCGGCTGCTGCGTAGCGTCCGGTTATAATTGACGGTCGTTTTTCAGGGTGCGATCTCAGAATAGCTTTTAATGTCACTAAAAACAGCTGGAATTTGTACGCATCTTGGAAAGTGAAACCATCTATCAGCCTCATTTGCATCTCCATAAGACTATGTCAAAGACAACTAAACGTTATCGCCGTATTTCCGGCGTCACATGATTTGACATCCTACGAGCCAGCAGGTCACCTTCACCTCGCAACACGCGATTTCGCGCCACGCGGCGCGGGCGTCGTATGTCGTCGCACCTGCCACGGGAAGGGCTGGACCAGCGCGAACAACTTGCTCTCTGGCTGCGGCGCCGGCAGGAGGATGGCCGTGGTTTCCTCGTGGAAGGCTGTCGTGAAGTCGATGCCCTGTTCCCGGATGTGGGAGATGGTGAAGCCCGACACCGCCATGTCAACCTCCTGAACAGGCCAGAAGGATTCAGGGTCTTGTGTCATCCGAGGTCGACTTCGCCGGCCGACACTGGTTACACGCGGGTTGACATGACATTGGTCAGCGTAACCCCTTCAATATGCGACTGAAACACGAATCGGTTTATAGCGTAGGCAGTTAACGATTAATGAGCCTGGCGTATGAACTGCTAACAGAAGAGAGCTGACATGAATGAGGAAATGGCCTGCATGCGTCATAGCATCATCATAAATAACAATGGTACGGAGCACCGTTTAACTGCCAGTTGTATGAGTGATAGTAACTGACAAAACACCGTTTCGCGGCTGATTACCATCGCGCGCCGTTTCTGCACAGCAGTGAGCCAAAAGCCCCTACGGCTCGTGGTCATGTAGCATGTAGCATGTAGCGTGTAGCATGTATCATGGAGCGTGTGACATTTTGATGTGCAAAGAGCTGGTGTAAGAGAATTACATGACACAGTTTGATACTCGGAGTTCCACCATCCCAATCTTACACTTAGTATGCTGGCAACACTGGAAAGTTAAACCTGAAACATCAACCCACGTGAAGTAGATATGCCTGTCGTGTTTTGAATCGGCAAAATAAGACTCATGACAAGAAAGCTCAGAACTCAAAATAGGTCAGAACGAAATGACATGATAATAATCACAATAACAATTTTTGCCAATAACATAACAAAATAACGATCATATTCTCCTCAAGCTGAAGTAGCAAGAAATGGTCATCAGTAATTACAAACCAGACGAGCATTGCTATAATTGCGCCTGCTGAAAGCTATTCTCTGGAATCGATGTGTTCAAGGCTGATGGGACTCGTCTATTTCAGACAGCTACTTGCAGATCTATTCAGAGTTATCTTGTCAAACAGTGACTTGTCAAGCATTGCTCCTCGCTGCTTGGTGGCGCTCTTATGGTCATTTCACATCACCGGCTCACCGTTCTGTTGACCATCCCAACCATTCCGTTCCAAGTATTGTTTGGCAGAAGACTACCCCAGTTTCCGTCGTACGGCAGAACAAGGTCTATTCTGAAAGAGTACATGTGTCGTTCAGAACCAAGTTGATGCGACCATCCTGCACCTCACATTTGTCAGGGGTGAGAGCGGCGAGGGTGTGAAAGCGTGAGACGATCTATGATGCGATGGCATTTGACATACCCGAAAACTGAAACAATGGCGATATTGCGGCCACGGGGCTAGCACCCAGCGTTCTGTGTGTACAGAATATGCTGGCACAAAGTGACGCAGTCGACGCATGAATGGTTTTAGTGGTGCAGGTGCAACAAATGGCATCAAGTTGAAAATCTTTCCTCAAGTCGCTGCATGCAATGATGTATGTTTCGAAAGAGACGACACATCTGTTAATTAACTCAAGCCGTTTCACTTACTTAAAATTGTATTTTCTCATTAAAGTGGTCAACATTTCGAAGCAAAAGCCTCGGTACCCTACGATTTTTCCGTCTGGGTTTACTTCCAGAATTGTTAGCGGTGGCCGCTGAAAAGGGTAAAAGGGAGTTAAAACATACGTAGCAGACGTGCGCAACCACCAAAGTGAAGCGGGAAGTTCGTTACGTTGATGTTGTAGAATATGAAGCAAGGATAAATATGGACAAGATACATTACGTTCGAAAACAATGCAAATAGATCCATCTATAATCGCATGGCTGGGCGTTTAGTCGCAAGTCTTCTCCTGTCAACTCGGCGCAGTAAAGCTGATTCATGGCATGCACTGCACACTTCATACTGCAGAATGGAGAGCCATAGCCAGGGCGCTAGAGAGCCACATCATAGACATCGCCCTGCAATCATTTTGCGGTGTCTGTGGACACCCACACATGCATCCCCTGATTACCTTTGTGACACCCAGCGGTAGAAGATGATTTTCCATATGTCTGATATTTTACCAGGCCATAATGGGTTTGTCGTACATCTGTGAGGTTTCCACGGTGCTTGGCCCCCACTGCCACCTCCGGCGACGTCCCGCCGGGCCCGCCCCAGAGCCCGCCGTACCTGTATGGTGGCCACGCTGAGTGTGCTGTTGTGCAGACGACGCCGCGCTGCCGCCAGTGCGGCGCCATCCCACTGCGTCCTCCTGCGGCCGTGCAGCAGGCCCAGCTCGTCGCCGAACTCGCCTGGTGGCACGCGGCGGGCCGGCTGTACGACGCACATGTGGTGGTGAGCGCGGAAAAAGACGCACGACACGCTCCGGCAAGCGTGAAACGACGCACAACACGCGGGGGGAGTATGGAAAGGCGCACGGCGGCATTCGTGGGAAAAGGCACGATATGTGGAGGGTGGAGGGGAGGGGGGGGGGGGGGGGCGAGCACAGAAGGACGGACGGCGGCAAGCACGCAAATACGCGCGACACGCAAGGGCGAGCATGGAAGGTGATTCGCAACACAGGCTAGCGACTACGTTTCGACGGCTGAAGATATTTACAGGTCAGTACTGCAACAGCTTTTTCCGAAGCAAAGCACCAGGCTTAAAGCAGTTGCATGCAAGTTTATGCTCAAGTCTTCTGCATTATATTTTGGTAGGCAAAACATGATCGCCTGCCATCTGGCTGCTTTTCTAACCGCACGATTAATGCAAAGAGCAATATGAATATATGCATATATATGCATATATATATATATATATATATATATATATATATATATTTGTACACACAAGTGCTTAAAAGCTTGCCAACAAATATTGTGCAACAAATTTTAACATAAATAGCACGAGCTGTTGGTCGGAACTGTCCACTCCAAATTCTACACCATCCCACCCGCTAGAGAAATAATAAAAAAAAACATGAGCAATTCCATTGCCATCACTGCTGCATATGGGCGGCACAACCCATGCCTTCTGGTGGCTGACGAGTGGCCAGGCAGTAAAACGTCGGGCACTGCAACGAGTGAGTTATAACCCACAACCGATTGCCTTGTAGAGCGTTCAGTTTTGCTCGTAACGATTAGCCCCTGCGTGACCGGATCTGCTCCGCTTCCAACCAGGGCTTCTACTGGGGTAACGGCGCCAAGCCACGGCTGGGCCGTCCCTGCCGCCGTTCAGTGGCGAGGGCGGTGGCCGGCGGCCGATTGGGCGGATCAGTACTACGACCGCGGCTCGTGCTTCCTCAGCGGAAGACCCCCGGACAAACAACCTACCTGCAGCGTGAACCCAACCCACCCGTGAAATGTTATTCCTCGCTCATCTTGTTCGGGGATTAGGTTCAAGAATGCGATTTTGACTGAAGTTGAGTGAGTCATTGGGGCTTTCCGACAAATGCCGCTGCTGAGGCAATGGCGTCGCCTGCGTCTCACCCTGGCAGGAAAGGCATGCACCGCGGGGAATCAAATCCATATCTCTGGTTTACTGGACGCGGTGGTTAACTTTTGATTTGAGCTAGGAATGGAGTTGGTTACAATAGTATTTTGTGTAAACTTCAAGTCTAATTTTAGGAGAATCGGTGAAGGTGTACACTCAGCCAAAAAGTGTATTAAGAGATTGGGCATCAACCGGGAAGCTGTCCTAATTTGATTTTCTAGACAGAGCACACAATTTTATATCCAGAGAACAGATCTCCAACTCCAGTAAATTCTGGTCGACTGAAACATTGCAACTTTCGCGCCTTGTCCCCAACTGCAGCGCTATTTCGGTCATTTCAGGCGGACGTACCAGAGTTGAAGATATACTGCTGCTGCCGGATGCATGCTGGAATAACAAAAGTACCAGCTCGCCTACCAACCTTAGATGCAAACAATGACAAGATATGGCCACAGCAGGCCAGAATTACACATAACTGATACACGGGTTAAAACCTATCCCGTCATCAGCCTGCACGAATTAGAGTTGGCCTTTTACGAGACCTCACGAGCTAAAAGTTGGCCCGTTACGAGGCTGCGCGAGTTAAAAGTTAGCATGTTACGAGGCTGCAAATGTTGAAATTTAACCCGTTACGCGCTTGCACTAACAAAAAGCTAATCCGCTACTTTACTTGTTCGATGCATTTGCGATACCTCGCATATAGTTGCCAGCAAATCGCAAGACATTCATTTGATACACATACAAGGCTCCATGAGTGGCAAAACGTCGTGGTGACGACTTGCTTGATGAAGTCGGCGACAAAAGGTATATCTTTATCATGACCCTTGTTGGCAAACATAACTGGCGACCTTTTTGCTATGTCATGTCACATGGTATCACGTTAGGCTGTTGGCGACAGTTTTTTTCAGCAAGAATTCAATCCGCAGCAAAACAAGCGTTGACATCGCTGCAAGGCTCTAAGAATTTGCACCCGACTTGAGAGGTTCAAAAATGTTGACATTTTTGCACTCGGATTCGAGAGATTTGTGGTGAATGTATCAAATAAATCGGATGCATCAAACGTGCTGCAAACATTTGTCAGTTGTGTGAGTAAATTAAATGTGTCAAGTATCTCGAAACTTGTAGGAAAATGCAAACTTTGTAAATACACTGAGATCCCCGCCACTGCCCATAAAAGCTACTATGAATCTGTTGATTAAGTGCTCAAAATACTGAGTTTTGCACATGCGTGGAACGTGTAGAATGTGTTAAACTCTTTCAAACTTTTAAATAGCATTCCCTGTGAAATTTCGGTTGCAGCAGGGTGGTGACAGCAGGACGAGCAGGGGAGGGGGGAGGGGGGCGACAGATTGACTGGCATCAGGATGTAGATACTACCAAAACAAATACAAATGGGGACCGTGTTCCTTGGGATCCGATCCGAATACAACTTGAGACTGCATCAGGAATTACCAAGTATCAGTTAAGTAGGCAGAAGGGTGCTGGTGCATAGCGTATGCCCTAGAACAGGGGATTCGGATACGTGGGATTCGGAAGAATCTAATTTATTTAAATCTAATCCGAAAAGCCACATCAAGCCATGGACCCAGTTCCCAAACGTGAAAGAGCAAATTAACACACATTTATTTACACTGCATGAACTCGTGGACAAAAACAATTGAGTGCAACCGGCATGTCCATTGATCAGTGACTAGCATCGCATGTTCAAGCGAAAATCGACCCATCTCCGGCTCGTGTACAGATCTATGCAAAGCACTTGAAAGGTCTTCCGGTAATTTATTTCAGTTTAAATAGCAATCACCTCAAGCCGACTCTTAAGTATGCAGTTAGATGCATCAACTATTAGCTAGGTCCATATCTCCATCATATCAACTGGATTCAACATGCATATATCGGTTCTACATTGGGATGTTAAATATGACAAGAGACACTAATAAACACGCGCTTAGTTTTGGATTCATTTCAACCTTAGTTAGGTTTTTACAAAACAGTTTCCAAACGGCGCTGTGTGGTGACCAAACTCTGTTAAGCTGTACACAACTGAGTAACCGATATCTTTGCGTGAAAAACTTCGATTAAGAATTATCTGATGCAGCAACTGAGTTCAAAACGAAATCATGCTCTTTTGCACGGGAGACCATTTGTATTCTTCTGGGCAGGGCGCTGCCTCCCCCTCCCCCATGTCAAGTTGGCCTCCCAACGCTGAGTTTGCCAACTTCCAACCCTTCGAAGTCTTAGTAAAAGCAGGATGTTAAAAATAAAAGTTAAAAATGACATCAGCTTTAAGAGTTTTTCCAGGAATGGTTTCACAGGCGAAGGAAACAACAAAAACCAACTGCAATGCCATGCTCAGTTAAGTGCGACTGACTGAGCTGGTTTTTTTTAGAGCTAGTGCTTTTAGAGCTGGTCCAGACTTTTAAAGCTCCACGTTCATCCCCAATTAGCTGGACTATTATCTGTTTTTTTCAGGATCTCTGTTCTTTTCCATTGCTTGTTTTTCGTTAAATGATCAATATGCCTTGCTAACTCAGGCCTAGGTTTGTGCTATCGTCTGGGTGTTTTGATATTTTTAAGCGGTGTTTCATGTTGTAAAGAGAGCAGCAAGTTAATGATTTTCACGACGTTTTATCGGAAATTGAAAACTAACCGGTTCAATATCAATCCTCAAAAACGTCACCGAGTCATTAGCCGTCCACATTCGGAACAACCTTTGAAATGAACCGACCTTCACTTCGACATGACTAATCGATTGGACAGTTACAAAAAACCTGACAATTGACATGAGCCGACTAAACCGATAGTGATAATCACCCGACAATGACCACCAAAACAACACTAGCCGCGCTCAGCGTGCCCAACGCGAGTGCTGCGTTACGTGCGGTACATGTTTACTGCGTCATATCTGTCAGCCGGGCTGCCATTGCAGCCTTTAATAATCGCGCGCATCAACTTACACCCTTTATTCCCCGGGCCATAAACGTTCAACAGCGTCTGAAGCAGCATAACATCAACCCGACATCGATCACCACAACTCGGTTTCTCAGGGCGACGCCAAGTAAAATGACAATGGAACCCAACGACGGCATCTTGCGTCGAGCCATAGCAATGAAACGTATTGCGTCCGGCCGGCGAGGGGGGACTTCTCTTTCCCTTTTCGTTTTTCGAGCACAGCTCAAAGATGAGCGCTCGCAGCAACACAAGTTTTTTTAGTCTCTTTACCCATTAATTTGGTATTTTCTGTATAATTTCAAAGTTTTGACCTGCCAAGGCCAGTAAACTAGATCAGCTCAAAGAAGATGGCTTCTTAAAGAACTTTGAGCACGCATAACTCTTTTGTGTGCTATCTGTCATCATTAAAACCCGTCATAGCAATAATGTACAAGTCAAACCCGAGCCAGCGTTTTTACCTGATGACCTGCTATCGTGCGGTTTCAGCCGCAGTGGCTGGGCCTACCTCTGGAGAGCAGAGCGTCGCCAGTGAGCAGCATCATCGGGAGCAGCGCCAGCGCACCGCCCGGGAGCATTCTTCACCTGGCTGACGTCAGCAGCATCACACCGCCTGTCGGAGATCAACCTTGCTCTGATCACTGCCGAGGCAGAGTGAAAGCAGCCCCTGCGTGCGCGGCTGGAGAGTGCTGACACTTCTGCAGGTGTTGTCACTCTAGCGTGTCGCTGCGGAGAGGGGGAAGGGGGGAGGGGCAGTTGCCGGTCCTCGGGAAAATCTTCAGCAGCTACTTGACTTGAAACTCCTGCACAAAGTATGATTAGATAGTCTATTTCCTCTAGCAATCTGAATGAATTGTACCCGGCTGTCCACTTAAGAGAGGTGAGCTTTGAATTTAGAGGGATGACCCGTCTTTTGGGAGATAATGGTTTATCACTACAGCGACTACCAAAGTCACATTCGGAGGCTGCGTGCCATTGATGGGAGCAAAGCCCCCTCCAATGCAGCGTTATCAGTTTAAATTGCTTCTTTTACACCACCACATCAGTAAAAAAGACGCCAGGAAAAGCATCCTTCCATGATGTGCTTTGACTGCCGACCCCTGATGGGACGGGGATGGAGGGGGGGGGGGGGGGGGGGGGGAGGGGAGGGGAATGGGCGCCGACCACGGCCACCTCACTGGTTCGTTGCTAACCGCTCGGTCTCCAGCAGCCAACTGCACACCCCACCGCCAGCCCCCTGACAGGGCTGGCCGATACAGCTGCGTCGGTGGGCAGGGCTGACCAATGTGCGCACACTGCTGACTGTCGCACCCGCCAGCGACGGAGCGGAGCCCCGCTGTGGCCCAGAACGGAACCCCGCTGCGCCCCAGAGTGAAGCCCCACTGCGTCCCAGAGCGTACCCCACTGCGCCCCAGAGCGGAGCCCCACTGCGCCCCAGAGCGGCCCGCTGACAGCGGTCAACTCCATAAGCAACCACGACACCGCGAGCACTTCAAATGGCGATTCGGATCAACTTGATCTGTGGATTTCGTCAATGTCGGTAGAAGCTGATCAACAACACACACTTGTTGTAAATCTTCGATCCAGGCATTTCTGGGGAAAAGTGCAAAAGCTAACGCTTAAATTTGGATACCATCTCCTAGAAGAAAAAAATGAGGGTTGCTTCACAGAAGAACGCAATCACGCCGAACAGGTGGCATGGAAATGAGGGCTTTGTTCTTAACACGCGCCAGAGTGGGTGTTAAATTGATCCCTCCAAAAAGTTTTTTTCCAAAATGACATGACATGCATGACATGCCTCAAAGCCGCGCCAAACGTTGCATATTTGTAGAGAACTGTACAGCAGAGCTTGTGATGTGAAGTATTAGATTAGAACAGCTGAGTGTGAGACGAAGCCATACGCGTCGGAGACAATTTCTGAAGTAAAAAGCCAATTATATTTATAAGTACAATCAATTACATTGACCTAGAGTCAGACAAGATAGTACTAATAGCCTTATTCTTTGGAAAAAAGCCAGAAGGATGGAGATATAGATGTGTTGATATTTTGGCTAACGTGTCTTTATCCAAACGAACAGCGGGGGTCTGCTATTCTTTTCGTTAAAGGCATGCTGCCGAAATGTCGACGAATCTATATTTCCATTTTCTTGTTTTTTTTTCTCCGAGAAATAAGGCTGTTACTACTGTCCCATGCACAACGTTCATCGCAAATGCACTTAACAGCTTACGCAACCTAGAGTCAGACACGAAGGTCAGACCGGAGTCAAAACTTACCTGCTTTACCTTTTTACTCAAGAGCTTGGCTTTACGGCACAGTTGTTGGTGATCATTTCAAATTCATTGATGCTAGGGATCGTAACAAACATGTTCCATTGACTTTTAAGGATCAGGGCCGGCCACTGTCCTAAAGTTACCCAGGTTATCATTTTGTTGTTAGGAGCCTACCGCATGGCATAATCCCAGGTGCGTATGCGAATGACAAAACAAGGGCAAACTCGTAGGTGCTTGGTCACCTTGACCTCATAAAGGTAAAACAAGGTCACTAGCATTATTGACATTTTGCTCAGAACAGGTAGTTTCGCCTTTTTCCAGTTTCACGGCGTCTGCATGCGGAGGTTTGGCGGCACTCGAGACCGCTATCTGGATTTTGACCTTGTTTGACCTAACAGGACCCCAAGCTCATGATCTAGGAACCTCATATTTTGGCATAATCGAGCTCACGTAAGGTCGGTCTATCCTGTAAATTTTGTGTCCCTTCCTGTCCTAGTCTCTGAGATCTAAGGGGGTTAAATTGACCCCCACCCAAGTGCAAGACATTGAGCCGGCGTGTTAAGTTATTTCAGGTCCAGATCACCGAAGCCAGGACACTCTACGAAAGGCAACCGGATGCTTAATTGGAAAGGCAGCCGGAAAGGGTAGAAAGTGCAAATGACGACTGTGCGGGAGATGTGGTTTTGTTGCGTCTAGAGAAGGCTATTTTTCCTGCTCAATAACAAATCGCAGCTAGCTAGCGGAGGCTAGCAGCTAAGCTAGCTAGCTAGCTTAGGCTAGCGGAGACTGGCTGGAAGAAGCGCAGGCTTATTGGTGTGAAGAGTAAGCACTTGGGCGAATTGAGCCACGCTTGATTTGTAACAGCAGCAGACACAGGCGGGATGCCAGTTGTGTGTATAGTGGCACGACGTGCGTTGACCCTTGACCTTTCCAGCCGACGAGCGGGCATTATGTTGCGCACGCGTTCAGTGCATGCGCACGTGACATGGGGTGATGACCCGGGCCCGACCACGTGGGAATCAGACGCGCCAACCTCTTCGGACGGACTCCGTGGGAGCAGGTTCGAATTCCGGTTCATGCCCCTGAGCGCCAATATGGTCAGTGCAGTCGCCGGCGCTTCGTAAAAGTAGCGTGACGGCGTGCATTTCTTTCCTTTTTACAAAAAAAGCTCGCATCATGACTTTGTTCAAGCAATATGACATTGACGAGCGTGAGGAGGTAACAAACGGCTTATTACGGCGCTGCGTCACATAAAGGTCACTCATTTAATATTACCAAAGTCAGTACGGCCATCGATTGCTCGGTAGAAACAATAACAATGGTGACAAGTGCATAGCAGTGCGAACTTTGTGAACAATAGCGCATAATAATGATGTTTCGGTTCCGGTATTCCGGCTCTCCTTTGTCCGCACTCTAGTGATGGTCTCTCGGCACGCGCTGCGACAGTGATGGACAATTTTTGCGAACAATGGCGCCGCTTTTCCGTCCGATGATGCGGGTCGCGGACTACAGGACGTGTCGACAGCTGCTGGCAGCGGTCGAACAGCCGCTCAATGGCCAAGAGCCAAGCCAAGTTAAAAATTCATCAGTGGACTGCTTACTCGGTGAGGCGCCATCCATTACAAGTACCTGCAAGCACCTCATCACCTGCAGCGGGGCGTGTGTAAAGTGACACATTTCACATACACATTTTATTTACGAGTGCAAAATACTCTGCGGTACGTTGAACAATGCCTCACGCTATGCAAATGGGTATGTGTATCCAAAAAATGGTCAGGCATACATTGTGTTATAAATGGTTTATGAAGCTTGAGACATCGCTACCCTTTGGTTGGATGTAAATCATGCATGTGATTACAATGGCGGCAGAAAGCGATGCACCATCCACGTTACCCGGCCAAGGATATCTGGGTTGGCGTGAACTGCCCGATACGTAGGTGCGGTTCATACATGTGGCCGCTCCATGTAACGAATCCCGTGCTTGCATATATGTGGACTGTCACCACCAACACTGGGCATCCTAGAACACGGCTGCAAACATGACCTATCAGTCGCTCCGTCACGAATACGTGCGAATGAGCACCAGACACACCTGCACCACGTGGATGGTGTGGGTGCCTTTTTACCATGACCTCTTTTAGTGGCGTCCGTAGGGAGGAAAACATGAGGAACCAGACCGCCGGGCATCTGCGTCAGTTGTGAAAGCATTTGTGGCCATTGTCATGCAGTAAGAATACACATTTCTTTGCATTGTCCTACTCATAAAAGACCTCTGTTCGGCGGTCGCCAGTGAAATGTGCAGCCGAACTGTGCTGATCCGATGCAGGGGTGCTAAAACGCCACCTCGTTACTCGTCAGCGGTACATGTCGACAGCAAAATAAACGGATCACATCAGCGCTCGATGTCAGAGACTCATACAACCACGTAATTCAAGCGGTAGAATAAGCATTTCACATCATCTGCCACTATATGCGCACAACTGACATAGGCATCAGCCGCCGGTGACTACTGCTCCTGATCAGTAGTGGACGGTGGCATGAACAGTGAACGTCTGCGGTTAACATCAGCACTTGACAGCCCCGTCACATCCTCACTGTAGTGCCGGAAGAAAATGTTTCGCTGCCCAGTGAATAAACAGTAAATGTAGGCGCCAATAGTCAACGTCAGCATACATTAGATGCATAGGACACTAGCAGTGAACATCCGCGGTACATGTCAGTGCAACGATGATCGGAAGTTGACATGAGCCATTAACATCAATGGTGAACGCCAGCATTGAACATCACCGGTCAACATCATCGTCGATCAATATGGATCGTGAACATCATGCATTTGACATGAGGGGTGAACAGCAACGTTGGTCACCATCAACAGTGAACATTAACGTCTTACATGGACATCTAACGTCAGCAGGCGACAGCGTTAGCTTGTGCCGTCATGTGACATCAGCAGCAAAGCATGTGACGTCAGCACAGTCAGCAACGCGCCGCGACTTCAAGGCCCGGTGGACGGCGTCAGTGCCGCCCTAGCCAGGGCTGGACTCTCTTCGGGTGGTGCCGCAGCCAGGCTTTGCGGACGCCGTCGCCGCCGGCCAGGGGGCGGCCCAGCCGTGATAGCCTCTCCAGCACGAACACCAGCAGCGCCAGCAGCACGCCCAACAGGTACAGGATCAGCGACGAGACGATGTCCTCCACCATCAGCGGCTTGGTGGTGACGTCGGTGAAGATGGCGCCCGTGCTGCAGTTGGACGCCGGCGGCCAGTAGTCGGAGCGCCACTTGTCGAACAGCCCCGACTCGGACATGCGCAGGAACCTGGAGACGGGAGAGCGGCCGACGTCAGCTAGTGCTCACACCGCGCACCCCGGCCTGGCGAGAGGGACAGGTGGAAGGGTTATCAGACAGGGCAGAGGTCACCCTGACGCGAGCCGAGATCATCAGACGCTGGGTGGAGGTCATCTTGCTGGAGGAAGCACGGAGTCAAATCTTGCTGGGTCAATCGCTGAAGGTCAGCACGCTGGGTGGAGGTCATTAGACGGGTAGGGACCACCAGACGGAATGGGGTCATCACACGAAGCAGGGCTATCAGACAGGATGGGGATTATTACTGCAAGGCTTTACATGCCGGTTCACTTATTGCATGCACTATGCCGTGCATTGCATTATTTGCACGCCGGCCACACGGGAAAATGCAGCGTGTGGTGGAGCAGGCTGGGAAGTTGATGTGGAAGAAGAACAAATGCCAACTTTATTCACGAATGTTTCAGAGACCCTTTGAGAGGCACCCGTCTATTCCTGAACAAGCGACTACGTAACTTGCAGAAGCTGCCCTTAAGATGTCCTCATGAGCTAGACTGCGCTCGAAAATCCTTGCGCAGGGACTGAAAGCCTGATCATTTACCGGCAGATGACGTCGCTCTTTGACATGTATCACCAGCTTATCGGCACCAGCATTCTGGCTGGCATCTTCGACGGGGCGTCCCCACTGCTCTTACTCCAGATTAAAGAGATCCTTGACGGGGCTGCCCGTCTCCAGAATCCAGCCAAAGCCGGCCGTGAAGAACTCTTGTTTCGCTATCTTAAGTCGGCACCTGCGACTGGTCTGGAAGTCGTGGTCCAGGGCGAAATCCAGGTAGGACTTCTCCTGCACGCATAAGACAAAACAATCCGCTGGCTCAATCCGGCGCTGACAATCACGATCAAGCGCATCCAGACCATTTTTTGAATGGAATCGTGCAATGGATTGAGAAATTGTGTAATGGTATGACTGCTGGTGAAATGTGTTCTCCTTGCAACGACACAAGTTTGTTGCTACACACGCACTGGCCCACGTACCAGTCTCGAGCAGTGTGGCAAGTCCCACGACCTCGGCACAGCTGCAGCGCCAAGACCGTGCCTCGATAGTGACGCCTACAAGACCGTGCCTCGGTAGTGGTGCCTACAAGACCGTGCCTCGGTAGTGGCGCCTACAAGACCGTGCCTCGGTAGTGGTGCCTACAAGACCGTGCCTCGGTAGTGGCGCCTACAAGACCGTGCCTCGATAGTGGCGCCTACAAGACCGTGCCTCGGTAGTGGCGCCTACAAGACCGTGCCTCGATAGTGGCGCCTACATGACCGTGCCTCGATAGTGGCACCTACAAGACCGTGCCTCGGTAGTGGCGCCTACAAGACCGTGCCTCGATAGTGGCGCCTACAAGACCGTGCCTCGATAGTGGCGCCTACAAGACCGTGCCTCGGTAGTGGCGCCTACAAGACCGTGCCTCGGTAGTGGCGCCTACAAGACCGTGCCTCGGTAGTGGTGCCTACAAGACCGTGCCTCGGTGGTGGCGCCTACAAGACCGTGCCTCGGTAGTGGTGCCTACAAGACCTTGCCTCGATAGTGGCGCCTACAAGACCGTGCCTCGATAATGGCGCCTACAAGACCGTGCCTCGGTAGTGGCGCCTACAAGACCGTGCCTCGATAGTGGCGCCTACAAGACCGTGCCTCGATAGTGGCGCCTACAAGACCGTGCCTCGGTAGTGGCGCCTACAAGACCGTGCCTCGACAGTGGCGCCTACAAGACCGTGCCTCGGTAGTGGCGCCTACAAGACCGTGCCTCGGTAGTGGCGCCTACAAGACCGTGCCTCGGTAGTGGCGCCTACAAGACCGTGCCTCGGTAGTGGCGCCTACAAGACCGTGCCTCGGTAGTGGCGCCTACAAGACCGTGCCTCGGTAGTGGTGCCTACAAGACCGTGCCTCGGTAGTGGTGCCTACAAGACCGTGCCTCGGTAGTGGCGCCTACAAGCGCAGATTGTTTAGAAATCAACGAAAGCGACTAAAGGCTTGCAATAACTCACGTAAGTGTCATCGGCCTTAGGTGGAACAAATGGAAAAAACTGGCACTGGTGGGCATGAGTTGCGGTAGGCTTACCCGCCCGATCAACAAGGACTTATGATGATGATGATTAGGGTTTTTAGGGTGCGCCGACTTCTGAGGTCATTTTGCGCCCATAACAGCTAAGTGGCTACCAAGGTGTATAGATGGCTATAAATCCTATAGTTTTCAAAAATGAGAACAGCTGTCCCGTGCCAAGCATGCGAGGATCGCCACCGATGATATCTGAAAAAAAATAAGGCCTGAGGTGTCTCTTCCGAAATAAAGTGTCCGCTCTTCTCTGAACTTTGGGCAAGAGTGAATAACGTGGCGAGCCGTAAGTGGCGCATCAAGATGAGGACATTTAGGCCGTTCTCCACCGCACAGAAGGTAGCTATGTGCTGCGTGCACGTGGTCAATTCGTAACCTGCTGAGAATTACTCCTTCGCGTCTCAACTTACCTGAGCTTGACGGCCATGGACTCAGCTGTGGCTTAAGCGCCTTCAGCTCATTGCTCACAGCTCACTATTGCTCACAGTGGCGTCCCAGCGGCATTGCCATTTCCCCTTCACATAGGCCACGACGACAGGGTAGAAGTTTCTTGCCGGTAAAGGCAAAGAGCGGATGCAAGATACCCGCGCTGCCTGTTTTGCGGCCGCGTCAGCACGCTCGTTAACTGCGGTACCCACATGGCTCGATATCTAACATAGGACGACGGTTTTACCTGCGAGATCTAGCGCTGCAAGGTGCTCTAAAATGTCTTGTATAATGGGACAGGGTGATTTAAAGGCGGTCAGAGCCAACTGGCTGCTGGAAGAGTCAGCTAAGATCACGTGTGGCCTGCTTTCACCAGCTCCGATGAAGCATAAGGTCTTGCTAATTGCAACGAGCTCGGACGTGTACACTGGGGCGGGTTTCGGTAAAGACAATGGCCGAGTGGCTTGGCCATTCACAAATGTAGCACCCACCAACAACCACTTCCGCTTTTGACACAATAATATGTGGCTTAAAATCCTATGTACGACACGATATTATTCAGAGCCTTCGACCTTAACACTAGCCCGGGTGGCCGGCTAGATATCCTTCGCTCGGGTGGAGGGGGGGGGGGGGCAGTTTGATCTCCCATGAGATCTCAGGAAATAAGAAAGCTGGAAACACCAAATTTATAGGCTGTCTTGACCTGTACGTAAACTCACTTAGGTCAAACTTTGAACTTCCTAGGTCACGACCTTCAGGCCAAATAAGGTCAAAAAAAGGTCAAATTCCAGGTGGGTCGTTAAAGTGCCCCCAGAAACTAGGCAACTGTTTCGAAGCGGAAGGTCAAAAGCCGATTTGAGGTCAGCGACCTTGCTTGACCTTTTGCAAGTCATGGTGAGCGAAATCATACGAGACTGCTCTGAGTTTTGCATTTGAATAAGCGACAAAGATTACGCTAGGCAGTGTGTTCCCAAAACAAAATGTCGACCCGGGTCATATCAGGTCAATGGCCTTTTCTGACCTCACAGAAGTCAGTGGAAGACGTATAATGCGGTTACTGTTGTCAATAAATTCAAAATGAGCACCACAAACTATCCCATACAGCAAGCCCTAGGGCAATAAATCAGGTTGGTCGTGAACGTGGTCTGACCTTCATACCTGACCTTAGGCCGCCTAAGAAAGCATTTCAGAGATGTATGGCTTCGTCAAACACTCCGTTATTTTACCAGATTGGACGATTCCATAAAAATTGCCTTCGCTGAAACCATGGCCTGACTTTGACCTGGCATTGATCAGCGACCCTACAAGGTACGTCTAACTTTGTGATCTCAAACAGTACGCTATTCAATTTTATACGACTACGCAAACTTTGGGGGGGCTAGGCTGCGCCGTTCGGAAACCATTCTGGAAAACCTTTGGGGGGGGGGGGCAATTGGACCCGCCACCCGAGCGCATGTTAAGTCACTGGGATCACTCGCTGTTTGCCCGTGCATGAAAGAGAGACATCCACTTTTGGTGAAATTGGCCTCCATAGCGGTCATGACACGGAAAACGGGACGGGAAGAACACGGGAAACCAACACGGGAAATGACTAACATACCACGCAAAACTAAGATCGTTTTCCCAGAACAGCTTCTTCATCTGAACACCAAATGGAATACCGTGTGGTCTTCCACCACTTTGGAACACGTCTTCAACAATACGTGAAAAAATTGCTTGGTGAGTCGGATGGTTTGGAGAATGGGCCAGCTTGCGAAAGCGTCGCATGCCAAGCATTTCCGTTCTCAGTGCCAACGCTTATTTACGTCCGCCGCAAGGCTGCCAACTGCTGCCGTTCTGAATGCCCCGGTCATAATGCGTGCTGCGGTACGATGCACAGTGTCTAATAAACGCTTGCAGTAGCCCGGCGCGCCGTCATAAATAAAAAACCCATGCTCAAGTTTCGAATGTATGGGTGAGCGGTAAAGGAGCAACAGTGTTCTCCTGTACGCTACATAACATGTTGGAGACACATACTTCAATATGCTCAATGCTTTGAAACAATTGTCACTTAGGATTTTCAGACGTGACCTGCCAGTCAACCGATCATCAAACTGCAGACCCAAGAAGCGGGAACTGGGTTGATTCGGAATGGTCTGGCCGCTTAGCCTTAAAGCCACGGCTTGGCATTGACGACGGCGTCTGCAAAAGTGCTTAGCCACTGTTTTCGAAGCTGAGAAGCGTAGTCCGGTTAGAACGCTCCATCTTTCCAGGCCGATCACAGCCAACTTCTATCTTTCCAGGCCGATCACAGCCAACTGCAAGCGACGCCCCAGAGAAGCAAAGTTAGAGGAGGCGTACCAGATAACGACATCATCCACAAAGAGAGAGCGACTGACCGACCTTGGAAGGGAGTCACCAATATCGGTTATCGTCACAGCGAACAAAGCGACGCACAGAACACCGCCCTGGGACATGCCATCGTTATTTTTTGGTACCTTTCCGAAAAGTTGGAGCCAACACGAACTCTGGAAAAGCGATCAGTCACGAAATTCGCTGAGAATGTGCCCATGGCTCTCCGAACGCCGTAATGAAAGAGTTTCTTCAGGATGCCGTAACGCCACGTGGTATCATGAGCTTTAACAAAACAAACACAGCGCCGACATGCCGTTTTCCCCTAAAACTAGTACGGATGCTGGTGTACAGAGCTATAAGATGGTCAATCATGCTGCAATTTTTCCTGAATCCCCACTGAGCAGCCGCTTTACGTTTTACGTTAACGCAGAACGTTTTACCGCCCTGAAAAAAAAACTACAAAGGTACCATGATGTCAGTGAGATAGGGCGATAGTTGGCGACGACAGCCCCATTCTTACCAGGCTTGAGCGCAAGGATAATGTTCGACCCACGCCAAGACTCCGGGAAACTTCCAGTCGCCCAGAGTTTGCTGTAATCCGCTAAAAGGACAATGATTGGTACGATGTACTGCTAAACGGGCCGACTTCTGACCGCGAGCGGAGATGCCGAGAAAGTCTGGTGAGGCCAACGAGTAAAAATGAGCGTCGTTCAGCGAAGAAAGGCAGAACCGGTCTACTACCAACGAAAGTTAGCGTGTCCGTCGCCACACCCGAAATTTCTGCACTCTGGTGTGCCCGATATTTGAGAACCAACCACATGGATATTTTCGTTATGCAACTAAATATTACATTCGTATAATAAATATACACCCAATATGTTTAAATATTTGTGTAAGTGCGTAAACTGATACCATCTCCATTACCCTCAGGGACATTGAAACATGCGTCTTTCCACGCACTAACTGGTTTTCCGTGCGCCGTCTTAACCTGCATTTCGTGTGTCTGATAAGTACACACACACACACACACACACACACACACACACACACACACACCACACACACCACAACACACACACACACACACACACACACACACCACAACACCCCCACACACACACCACACACACACACCACACACACGAACATATAAGTACGTGTATATATATATATTATATATATTATATAATAGATAGATTATATAGATATTAGATGATAGATATAGATAGATGATAGATAGATAGATAGATAGATAGATAGATAGATAGATAGATAGATATATATATATGTATATATATATATATATATATATATATATATATATATATATATATATATATATATATATTATATATACCTCATGCGTACATGCATAGAGAGCGTAATACCGATGCCACGCGGTTAACAAAATTATACCGATATCACAATACCCTCCGTACGACATCTATATCGACCTAAATCGCTATAAAGATTTACAGTATCATTATATGACCAATGTTATAATACCATGACATGCCGCCAAACCTGGCCAGGTCGACCTCAGAAAACGGCTGACCTTGATAAAGGCCCAGCGCCCGGAGAGGACCCCGGCGATGCCCTCAGCGTCCGACCCGACTCGAAGGTCAGTGTGCTTGCTGCCGATGCTCTTGTATATCTCCGACTGCGATGTCTGAAACGGAATACAAGGGAACATCATACCAGACATATGGTAATGCTCTTCCAGGCCGGGCGGGCGTGATCCATGATGGCAAGGGGTGCGCACCGACGATGGATTTGGAACAAAGCCCTGTCAGGTTCAGCATGTTCCTGAAATGCTTTTAGTTAAATTGAAGGGTTAACATGATTCGGGTGGTCATAATGCACCCAAAACGTATGAGTGCTGCAAAGGTATTACTGTGCCGTGTATGCTACACTGGAATGGATTAGTTTGTGGGTGTAATAATATGCGATTTAATGCACGTCCCGCCCGGGCGGGCAAGTTGACTTCCTCCACCGTTTTCTGAGTGCATGTAAAAACAAACGGTCACAAAAGCACGAAATTTTCTGTATCAAGTATCAAGTCAATATGTCAGTTTGGATATCTTCACACATCTTTGCGCAACATCGAGGTTTTGAACTACCAATATCAGGGACCTAGGTCATGTCAAAGAGGCCAACCTACATAAATTGACCTCTCAACTTTTTTGTGGATCATTTGTCATAGGTCAAACTTGCTGTAGTAATAGAGCATGATACCACCGAAAGCTCACCTATTCAAAATTTCGAAAACAGGCGGGGTCAGCTATGACTTCTCGATATCCGTCTTGACATTCTACTACAAGCTTTAACAGCATCTATCAGAACGACTGTTTTTTAACTTTCTTGACCCTCTTGTGACCTCACATTTGATCAAGGTCAAACACTTTGTGTGTAATGTAATAGTAATGAATTGTGGTACCTTTAAGAACAAAGCTGATATGGGTAGTACAATACGGTGCGGAAAACTGGCCGTAGTTGCTACGTTTTCATAAATTTTGCCTTTTAGCCATGTTTCGCGCAGGGCGACGCTGGTCGCATAATGGAAAGGTGATATGCAGTCTATCACATTCGTGTAATCATTGCCACGTGAACACTGTTTTTTTTTGCAACATTGGAGTATGGAGACCGTGGCTTTAATGGAACAATGGAACATGGAAGAATTACATTCAGATGCAATGATTAGGCTCATATTACATCAGCTGCGTGTCCCAACAAACTATTTTGAACAATCACAGACAAAAGCAAAAAACGTTTTGAGATTATGCACATGGCATTAACAAGAATTGATTCTTTGACACGCTGTGGGGGTGCGTATACATTCGTATTACTGGAACCGCAGGATACCATGAATACATTTAGTACATGTGTGACATTTGAGATATATCGGCTGCTTGCATGGAACATGTAGGCACTGTAACAGCTGACTTATGTAACACTTGGGCGTGGTTTCTCTTGAAATAAGATGCTTTATATGCTGTTTTTTATCAAAAGCTGGCTCGTAGTTTATGTTTTGAGCATGCTTCAAATTACGCCCGAAGTAATAACTATCCCTTTGTCACACAACACTGCGTACTGCTTGATTGAGGAACTAGCGCGCTTGCGGTACAAGCATGTGCACGGTTTTGTATCAGTTTCGTTTTGAGCCCGTTAGCAGTCCATCATTCACAAGTCGATGAATCAAGAATGCAAGGAGTCGAACCAGGTCGGCAGCGGTGTAAGTTTCCCCTGTCTTTAGGGCATACCATACACCTTTATCTTTTCCTACCAAAGTGACATTTTTAAAAAATTATCCCGAATGGTTTGTATGGGTGACTTCGGATTCAGAGTACCTGCTAAGCATAGCTTGTTGCGTGTACCCCGAACCCACCACCCAAGCGTGCCGTCCAGTTCAACAGCTAATTTTGCCTCCGCCCTTTCGCCGGACAGGAATGCGGAGGGTTTTACGTGCCGCACAATGCTGCGACACGGCCGCCTCGGGTCTGGGTTGAGCCTCGTTGGCCAGTTGCCAGCTGGCCTTTCCGTTTCAGTCGGGTCAAACAGTGCGCCCACTTTGGGACTCGTACCCAGTGCCGCTGGATTACGAGTCCAGCATCTTTCCCCAAGACCACGGAGGCGACATGTCCAGAGACCTGTTCCGACCCTCTTCGCGCTCCCTCGCCTGGTCAATGGAAGGTTAAATGTAAAATGGGGCTAACACATCATCACGGCGTGACCGAACACAAGCCTGGCTATGGAAGCCCACTCCATGCATTCCTAGGTCCTAACGAACGTTATTTAAACCAATGTTGCAATACCACACCACCAGGTGCTCACCCTCGAAGTGGCACCTTTGATAGTTGATCATGGAAGTATTTCAACTTTGTACACCATCGAAGTCCAGGGATATAGCCAGAAGAGGGCAACGGGGTCCATCCCCCCGGAGCCAAGAAACGTCCACGCAATACTGCGCAAGTTCGCAGAAATTTTGTTTAAACTCGCATGGTTTCGGAGAAAATATGACGTTTGCTCCCCGCAGAAAACATTTTCCGCACGTGCCCTCCGAAGTCGAGTACCTACATGTGTGTCGTAATATGAAGGGACTCGCAAATATGTTGTCACGGCAGACTTGGCCTGGTGCGGCTCGCTGCCAAGCATCCCAGAAGTGGTTTGCAATTTTTATTTAAGTCACAAGCACACGCTTGAAGATCAAAATGCTGTGGGGCTTAAAATCTCCACAGCTTTTCCAACGCACAATAGTGCACTCTGAAAAAGAGGCTGAAGTTTTGGAACTCCTTTGCTAAGATTGACTTGATAACTCCATGCGTCTAAGCTTGGATGGGCCCGGCATAACGCATCAGGTGCCGGAGCTGAGCCGTGGCTGGTGGGATGACTGAACCGTGGCTGGTCGGGTGGCTGAGCCGTGGCTGGTCGGATGGCTGAGCCGTGGCTGAGTGGGTTGCTGAGGGTGGCTAGTCTAGCCTTGGCTGACTGGGTCTCTGAGCCATGGCTACCACGATTGCTGAGGGTGGCTAGCAAGATTGCTGAGAGTGGCTGGCTGGGCTGCTGAGCCGTGGCTGGTCGGGTGGCTGAGCCGTAGCTAAGGCACGGGGTCTTGTGTCTGTGACGTCAACGATAAACGGCTCGCTGCTCCTCGCTCATCACAGTCTGGCTAGATTTCATCGGCTCATGCAATCTGTGTGTGTTTTTACACTGAAGACGCCCTTCACTTTTAATGGTGGTCGGTCCATCAGACGCATTTCACAGACCCCGGACGATGTGACTTCGCCGTCTCCCGCCGTCTCGTCGCCGTCTCCCGTGCCCGGATGACAGTGGCGCCAACTCCAGCTTGCTGGTGGCGCCATCTATCAAGCTTTCTGAGGGGCGGCTAAGACGCGCGACCGTTTGAGAGTCCGAACGTCCATCACCAGGACAGAAATGCCAGCAAACCTGCTCCGCTCTAGGGGTGGGGGTGAGGGTGTCTTAGAGCACATCCGCCCCCCGAGGAGCGTCCGACCGCCACGCCCGCCCTCGCCGTGAATCACGGCCGACCCCACTTCCCGGTGCCTCGCTGCGGGCCATGCTGTACCGCAATACTGCCGTCACCCGTGTCATCCTGCCAGTTAGGCTGTGCCGCAGTGTACCGGCCCAGACCTGTGTGCGGACTGGGGTTGTGGATTTGGACTCCTTGTCTCAAGCGCGGGACACAACAGACGCAAACATTCCATGGGTTTCTTAACTGAAGGCAACATTAACGTTGAATGCGTATGCAATGCATGATCAGCGCAATGCGTATGCAAGGAAATGACTTATCAGTCACTAAACGGTTTTAACACCCAGCAGCTATCTCTAAACAATACACGGCCCGGCACAGAGCATGTTCTTTAAAAGGTCACCTCCGCATCGATTACGACAGTGTCAGCGAAATCAACGCGGCGCAAAGTATAAACGCTCCCACGTTGCATTGGTGATCCACTGTGTCATGGGGCATGTCAAAAAGTTTTTATCTTCTGTCAAATAACTGCGACGGATGATTTTTGTTAGTGACCGCGGTTTGGACGCTTCAAAAGCAGATGCCACGTTTTACTCAAAACGTCTAACTTTCGCTACTGAGTTCCGTTGAAAGTATGCACTAAGAATGCAGCAAGCGAACTGTGCAAACAAAATGGCTGCTTCAAGTGATGAAATATCAAAGGGAAAAATACCACACCTGAAGATATGGGAGCAAGCATCCGGTGTGATGACAAAAGCCCACTTAAGACTATTGGTACGTTTTTAAGTGGAAAAGGCTGTTTAAGACAACACACTTTTCTACTTAATACACTTACTCCTCAGCACTTCATTGATTGATCGAATCATGGGACCATTGCATGCCGTTGAGGCGCCACAAAACTACCCGCGTGAAATTGCCGCACTAGCACTCGCTTGTGGTACTTCAAACTTGCCGAGAGGTGGCAGTGGCGATGCTGGAAGTGTTTGGTAAGCAAATGTTATGTGCTCGCGTTTTGGCCCTGTCTCGTAGAGTTTTTGCATGATTTTGAGTTAAGATGTCTGCTTGTATCCAAATCATCGGTTATAACATTTTATACCTATTTGATTACAATACTTATTTCCGTAACAGCAAACGACTATATCCAACTTCTCACATTATGCAGCACAAAACATGGTTTGTAATTGAAAGTTGCACGGCTTTTCCTACATTGATTAAGAATCAATTAATGTTCGCTATAGCTCAATGGCAACATTTCTCTAGGTCCTGAACGCCGCATGGCCTATGGGGCAGCAGGGTTGGAATTACATTGCTCTGACGTCGTGCATGTCTAAATGGCCTAAAAATAGTCCGCAAGAAATATTCTGTACATCTTGGTGGGCATCAGGGGGGGGGGGGGGGGGGAAGGGTACCTCAGAAACTGAAGGGTTTTAGGTCTTTAGACGGGCAGGACTGTTAACTTCAGTGAATGCTTTCCAAATGGCTATTCCAGCTTAAAATATCATACACATGTGAAAGACTCTAAGAACGTCACCCTCCACGAGAAACAGGTTTTGAGAATGCAGCGTGCCCGAGCCATCGCCATGTCAAGGTTAATGCTGGATAAAAATGGTTTAACTCCTCTTAGACCGTGCAGTATCGGTTGTTTAAGCCCGCTTCAGACATCGCATTGAGGTCAGATAGGC